CGAAATATCATTGTTATATATAAAATAGTAGAAGAGGCCTCCTCAGATTAAGAGTCGTGTAATAGAAATATTCGTACTACGTAGCATATGCGGAAGGGAAATCTGAATTACTGTACTCCGAAATTAGGCTTTCGTACGTGTTAATTCGTTAATGGGAAGGATAAGTTGCAAAATCTTGGTGATCGGAGATTGTTTTCTTGTCAACTAATTACTTTAGGGAAAGATAATCTCTTTGAATAAGTGTCAGCCATCAAATTTAGAGCAATTATCAGTTACTTCTCCTTCCACCCGGGCTCTATCTTGTTCCATTGCAAATCTACGTATTAAAGGAATAGAAAATGGCCTGTAACCAGAGTATTTTTAAGTACTTTTGAGGCCTAGGTCCGAGATATTATACAGAACAAAGACAGGTAGTGAGCAATGAGATGAGACCCTTAAAAGGCAAGCATATTCCCGCGTGTTAATGAGGCCCTACTTGTAATTGATGCCTTTCTTATTTTTTACTGCATCGTCGATCAGATTTGTACCAATTGAAACCGTTTAGCTTCCTTTATAAATAAGAAAAAAGAAAGAATTGTTTTTATCATAAGAATTTCGTATTAAGGCAATAATACCCGTTGCCACACCCCATTCGAATCTTTGCATCCAGTTTTGTTCCCTTAAGATTTTTTTTATTCTTTAAATCATCTGTAACACAAAAAATACCGTTCTAATTTAATACAGTATGACTTATAGGAGATTAACACGATTATTATAGTGTCAACCTTTAAAAAATACACACAAGAAAGTGTAGAATTTGCATGTTTATCTGAAAATCGATATGTATAATTAATAGGGGTATAATACTGAAAGTTTTTGATTTTCCTGTAACAATTTTAACGTTATACAATTGGCGTGTAAGATATACAGTACAGTACTACAATAGATTACAATAGAGTAAGACATTAAACCGAAGGATTCTAATACAGTGGCACAGAACCAGATTGCACCCTACTTACAAATTGTATTGCATCGTCCGTTTAGAATTAGCAAACAGTTATAAGGATAGTTAAATCCACGTACAGTACAATATCTTTTCACTTTACTGTCTCTATTGTTTTACTTATCTTTCTGGAGAATTTCAAAGAGCAGGTGTGTTCGTTATCTGTGTTTGGCACGCGTGTAAGCTGTATGTTAATAATAAAGATTGATTATTTACTAAATTTATTGTTATATTTAACTAATTTTAATTTAAATTTTAATTAAGCCCCGTATTAGCTTTATAACACCGAAAAATTTAATATATTGTTAACGATTCAATTGTCCACGTTTGTGAAAATAAAAATGGCCGCCATTAATTTGAATGTAATAAAAAAAACTGAGTGAAGCTCCCCCTGATGGAAGATAATGGCGATTCTGTTTTTTAATTAATTAATTTAAATACAGTATTTGTAAAAGTAGCCATTTAAATACAGTCGACCCCCCCATAACACTGTTGATTATTCCGTTTTATATGAATTCCGTGTTGTACGAGTCACTTATATTTTACAAATACGTATGCCAGGCATACGTATTTGTAAAATATAAGTGACTCGTACAACATGGAATTCGTATAAAACGGAATTATCAACAGTGTTATGGGGGGGGTCGACTGTTGTACTTCTAACAATTGTATAAAGTAAACACAACGTGGGACTCGATCTAACGAAGATTTAATCGCAAATTATCACAATAGAAATTTCATCTAGTGTTCGAGAATGGCCTATATCTTATGTATTTTAATTCTAAAACAATTAAAACACAATGGAATTTAATACCTGCTAAATCCATGCAAACTTATCACAGACAAAATAAATATTTCTACTAATTTTTTGCCATTTTAGTTTTATCGAATTTGCTAATCAGAAGGGGGGGGGAGGGGAAATACGATAATTCACCAAAGGATACGAGATTAAACTACATTAATTGTGTAAAAATAAAAATAATAATAAAATATAAAAGTTTATCGAAGTTTTACTATTGTGTGACATACCTCACCTGTGAGCTTCATGTGGCAAGTACCAAACACCTGCCTCCTCTCCTGTATAAAAAAAAATTTCGGGTGATATTTTCGGAAATTCAAACCTCAACAGGGATAATTAGTATAGAAGAAACAGAATAAAAGTTAATGTTTTTTTTTTTTTATATATAGAATTACGATAGTTTACGTCATACAAATCTAACCTGTCGTCCATCAAAATAAACGTCTAATTTACACGTGTGTTTATTTAATTTACATTCACAAGGGATCGTTACTGTTCTAATAAAGAAATCCGAAATGAGTTGATAATAATTCAGGTGGTATTATACATTTAATACTCGTAAGCTAATCACTCGACACACGCACACAAAACACATCCACGAAGAAATAGGTAAATTTATACTGTACTCGGGTAAACTTTAAGGATTATATGTCATCTTACCCCGAATTAAATGACAGTTGTGCACGCGTATACTTCACTCGCAACGTAAGGGCCTGCAGGAGATTAGAAATAAAAAAAAAAAAACAAAAATAACATCACACAGGGTTCTAGTGTGTCTACAGAAGTGTGTGGGATAAAGTAGTATAGGCTATACACCACCCAGTGATACTAATGCGTGTCTACAGAAGTGTGTGGGATAAAGGGCTCGTGTTCAAGTGATTTGAATGTTTGTGCATCACGTAATAAAAAGAAAGACGGTTTTAATTGAAACACTTGACACTAGACTGGAACCTGTGCCAAGTATTGTGTATATTATGTTTTATCTATATTCCGAGTTTAACTTTTTTAATTAATGGGACGGTGAAGTGAATTTTGTGCGTTTTTTCGATACAATACAAATAGACAGCTGACGAAGATTTCTCTTCTTCGTCGTCGTCCGATAGATAATTTATTGGAAGCGTAACGCGCATAAAGGCCGATAATAATTCGCGTCGCAACGCCTGGATCGATACCTGGCTTTATTCGATAGAAATAATAGGTACTGGCTCGTGTGACGTCACTGGGTCCCCCCTTCCGTAAATCGGCCGAAAACGGGCCTTCTTGGCTCGCTCCGTCCCCAGGCGAAGGAGGAATCGGTGGCAGTTTCTTCTTATCGCCTCCACCTTTAGACCGTCGAGTATCGAGATAGGAGCTAAGTGTGTCGGATTTCGATCTGCCGACGGCCACCTGCGCCCGTTCCCACTCGGTCCGATAAGCTCCGCACGCGGCACTTCGGTCGCGGTCGGTTGAGCCCACTAGGCCCCTAACATCACTCGACAGATGGTCGCGTGCCGTCGCGGACGATCGGAACGGCGCGCGCTCGAGGCCCGATACGCTGTCCGAACGACTCACGGCCTTACAGATTTATCTCGGACACTGAAATTTTATCCACAATCGCCGAAATGTCCGATAATGAGTTATAAGCGCAATTTGTATAAATGATGTCGTTTAACCACACCTTCGCTCTACTTTAGCCGATCGACGTCTCGCTCGGCGCGGCGCAGTCGATATAAACCAAGGCAAAAGCGCCGCGCACGAAATCAAACTCGTTGGCTTCTCTCCACACGTCTTTCTTTCGTTAACGACTTTCACGTACTTGGCCAGATTTTAAGCTCCCACATCGAAAAATCCGCGCGCTTTGACCAAATCGGCATCGGCGTCGTCTCCCCGCGTTGCGCCGCGCCGTCGCCCGACGCCCGGGGGCCGAAAGGGTCGGATGCGCTCCTCCGCCTTCTTTCGGATTAGGACCCGGGGCATTGCGAGGGGATCCCAGTTCGTGCTCGACCACGCGCGTTAAAAAGTCACCTGGCAAACGGGATCTTTGGGTCCCGCGCCGGCTCTTCGTCTGGCGTCTTCTTCGGGCTCCACGCTCTGCCGATCGCGCAGCTGCCTGGCGAACGCGCGGCCTATTGTTGCCACGCCATTTGACGTTTGCCCTCTCGGCGGTAAATCTCGGCCACAGAACCTAATAGGTCCCACCATCCACGACCCGTTTCGAATGGAAGACTCTCTAATTCACAGAAACCACGCGTCGCGCAGTCCGCGCCGGCTACGCGCCATCATCCATCAGCGCGCGCTATTATCTAGGAGTTGCAACGTCATTTTAGGGGTGTTTTTCACTCCCCTGTCACCTCTTACAACTAACGATTCGATAGACTAAAAATTAAATCCAATCTAGTTTACGACAATCGCTAAAACCCGAAGCACCCGCAAGAGGAAGATCTTTCCATCTTCCTCCGAAATTGGGGATTCTAATTGGGAACTTATGGAAATTTCCGAGCCCCCAACGATCCCTAAAAGAATTAAAACAAAAGAAAACTCGACTATCTGTCGAATTATCGGCCGTCGTTTGTCCTGCGACAGGTGACGTTGTTCCCAAACGGGTGTCGCACGACGGATCACGCGACGGAATCCACACCCTCCCGGATCGTGATTTCTGCAGTTGGCCAGAAAATTTGTATCCCGGGGACCGGCCGGTAACCGTAGCAACGGCCTACGAGTCGTTACGGAAAATTGAGGCGCAATTAAAAAGGCGAGGCGGGAGTGATTTCTGTGTCGGGGTGGCGTAACGAGCGTGTGCCACGTGCCATCTGTGGTCGCCGGTTATCACTCTATTTATCTAGAACGAGAACGAGAACCGGGCGTGATCGTCGCCGATTCCGACAGCGTTTTCTCCCCCTAAACCCCTTCTCCGCGGTCCCTTCTTCGCCCGCAACCTCCCTCCTCCGATTCGTTTAAGGTTGCTCTCTCTCTCCCCCCCTCTGTCTCTCTCTCTCGTCGGCGGCGAGATCGTGAGGCAATCTGGTCCAGACCCGATCAGATTTAGTAACAATCCCGAATCGTCCCTCCCGGTGGCGCTCTTCTCCCCGCCCGTCGACCAATGGCGGACCCCGTCGAGGCGCCGAATCGGGTTCCGCGGTCGCCAAGGCAACCGAGCCGACACGTGAGTGGACGAGTCAAAGCGAGGCAATTGTTGGCGGCTGCGCCGATTTAAAGATTTGGAGGCGCGAGTGACCGGCAGTCGCGTCCGGTCGTCCGGCAAACATGCCTCGATCCTTTCTGGTCAAGAACAAGAAGACGCCGTGGAAGAGCCGCGGCCAACACCACCGCCTCTCCTCGGAAAGGGCCCTCATCCCCCGGACGGAATCACGTTACGGTAAAGTCGAATCTTCCTCACCCCTCCGGTCTACTCCTCTCGACGTTCGTCGACTTTAACTGAAGTTTCGTCCGAATTTTTCAGATTGGCCCACCCCTGCTCCTTCTCTACCCCTCCATCTGGGATCCGAACTCTCCTTCGATCCGTGCGGGGCCTTCCTCCTACGTTACCTAGTTCGAGGTCTACATTCGTCTTCTCTCCCCCTCGATCATCTTCGAAGGCCCACTTCGGAGGGTGCCGTCTCCGCGCCCCTTATTCGGCCCCCTTCTCCGGAAACTTTTATAGAAGGTGAGTGTTCTTTCTCGCTTTGTTTTTTTTTTATTTCTCGCGCGACGGTTCCTGGTCTGATTTTCGGTTTCTGTGACAGATGCGCAAGTTCCTCAGTGCGTCAGTCCGTCCACCAGAGAAAACACTCCCCTGGTCGACGGTTCGAGCCCCGTCGGCCGTCGGCCCGTTTCCGATTACTCGATAGAGGCCCTGCTGAACCCGAGTCGTAAGGAAGAGATGGCCGAAACGATGGAGTCGGAGGTCCCTCGCAGTAAAGGGGTGCTGAGAGAAGAGAATGCCAACGTCGTCCCTGCCCTCCTGTTCGCTTGCGCCGATTGCGGAAAGACTTTCGGCACTGCCCACGGACTGGAAGTGCACACTCGCAGATCGCACGGCGGTCAGAGGCCCTTCGCCTGCCTTCGCTGCAACAAAACTTTCGGACACGAAGTCAGCCTGGACCTACACAGGGCCGTACACAACAACGAAAGAAGTTTCGAGTGCAAACAGTGCGGCAAGAGCTTCAAGAGATCGTCCACTCTGTCCACCCATCTGCTGATTCACTCGGACACCAGGCCCTATCCTTGCCAATACTGCGGAAAGAGGTTCCACCAGAAGTCCGACATGAAGAAGCACACCTACATCCACACAGGTGAGAATCTTCCCGCTACTCGTCTCGTGTTCTCGCTCGGATAATCGATTCGTACGTGTTCCCGTTTTCGGACGAGAAAGCTGACGTTTTCTTTTAAAGGATCTAAAGTCGGAGGGTGTGGTCCGCGCGCGCTTAAGGATCTGTTACGCGACACTCGAAATTCACAACTGAATTTTAACCTTATTGAAGGTACGGTACTGTACAGTACGTTTTATTATTCATTACAATTCAGTACGGCTCTATCTATGGATGTTACTTCCGCATCCGGAAAATCTACCGATACCCCTTGGCAAAAAGTAAAAATGTCGCTCTTAGTTCGTAACTGTTTCGATTTAAGGGTGAGTTTCGGTGGCATTCGACCCCCGTTTGTAATCCTTTTGTTTGGTTTTCAGGCGAGAAACCCCACAAGTGTACCGTCTGCGGTAAGGCCTTCAGCCAATCGTCGAATCTGATAACCCACACACGCAAGCACACCGGATTCAAGCCCTTCGCCTGCGACGTATGTCCCAGGGCCTTTCAACGTAAGGTGGACTTGAGAAGACATCGAGAGACGCAACATCGACTCTGCACCCCCGTCGAATATCCCGGAAGGGAGGCGTGCGCCGAAGATCTTCGTCCCAGTTCTCGAGTCTCCCCCGGGGTGGACGTGGACTGATTTGTACGCGTCTACCCGTTGTACTGTACATAGTCTTAAAAGTGTATTTTCGTGTTGCAAATAATAAAAGAAAAGAAAAAAAAAAAAAAGCCCTCATCGGCTCTGGTTTCTCTGCGCATCTTCCACGAAATTCTTGGATGGAATTGTCTCTCGCGACAGGAAATGATGTTCGTTAGTCGGACGCGCACTTACAAATTTCCTTGTCCTTCGAGCCACTTAACTGTAATTGCGCTCGAATTTCTCTCCGCAACTTGCTCGTTAGCGCCATCTGGCGACCTACAAACGTATCAACGCTTTCCGGTAAAGCCCACCCTCCCCCCCGTAAGAAAGACAAACAAACGTGCAGGAGGTTTGGCTATTTTATTCTCACTGTACTGGAAAACTGGGTACAAGGGGCCAACACTGGAATACCGGAAAGGCCCGAATGGAAAAAAAAAGGGGGTCCGGTAAGTAAACGACGTGGTGTTACCCGTAGAAAATGCGGGCCGAAGGAAAAGGATGAGGTTGGGGAGCGAAATCTTCATGCCGATCCGTCGTGTTGCGTCTGCTTGTGTCTTCTAAGATCCACTTTTCTCTGAAAGGTCCTTCCGCACGCTTCGCAGGCGAACGGCTTGTAGCCCGTGTGCTTCCTGCCGTGTGTGATCAAGTTGGAGGACTGACTGAAGGCCTTCCCGCACACGATACACAGATAAGGCTTTTCTCCTAGAGTTAAAAAACCCCGTTAGAAGGCGCAAAGATGGAAGACGGAGGGCCTAGAACCACTCACCTGTGTGGACGTAAGTGTGCTTCTTCATGTCGGACTTCTGGTGGAACCTCTTTCCGCAGTACTGGCAAGGGTAGGGCCTGGTGTCCGAATGGATCAGCAGATGGGTGGACAGGGTGGACGATCGCTTGAAGCTCTTTCCGCACTGCTGACACTGGAAGTTTCTCTTGTGGCAACCCTGTCGGAAGCGAACGACGGGAAAATCCCTGGGATCCCCGCGGAATTCGTTGTCTTCCGCCTCCCGGGCCGGTGGCTCGGGTGCGGGCCGACCAGGATACCATTCGTTGGGGGGTGGCGGGAGGGTGGGAGCCGAGGGCCAACTCGCATCTGCAGAGACGTAAAGGCTAATTAGCCAATTAGAAAGGCGCTTATTCGATTAGCTACGGCCATCTTTCGTCCGTCGTCCGGGGATGGCGCCACCGGGGCGTTTCTCGTCAATTAGACGGATTACGCGGTTTTTAATGGTCCCGGACTCGGGGTTACGGTCGCCGAGGGATCGGACGGCGTCTGTCTTTCGTTTCGACCTTTAATTAGATTTAGACAAGCAACCGGGCAAAAAGCGGAAAGGTCGCAGTTTGTCTCGTCAACGGCGATCGCCTTCCCCTCCGAAAGTATCTCAGCAAACTTTAAAAAAAAAAAAAAAAAAAAAAACACCCCGGATAATCGGGTTAGGACCGATCTTAACCTACCCGCCGCTAGCGACATTTACGACCGACAGATGGCGCGACCGTCGTCTTCTGAGACGACTGTCGCGCCATCTCAGAAGGCGACGGTCGCGCCATCTGTCTCCTATTTGCATCTTAAGATGTAGAACGTTCTTGGCTCTTATTATTATTATTATTTTTTTAAATAATTGTTTTACCGATTTAAGAAGGGGCTCAACAGAAAGAACGTTTCTCCGTTTGGAAAATAATCACCTTTTTAAATATTTTTAAAAAAATCTGGAACAAGATTTATCCAAATCGAAGAAGAAGACAACGACCCCGTGGAATCTGGGTTTTCCAATTGTCTCGTCACAGGATCCATTTGTATGCGCGTGTGACGTCGCGGCATTCGTCCTTCGTCCCTGACTACTTCTTTCTTTTCCATTAATAGGCAATAAAAAATCATATAATTAATTTAATAAGCAAATCGAAGGGAGGAGGGATACGTGACTTGGAGGCAGTTTTAGCCGGTTGCCGACTGACGTGAGCGATTGTATCGAGTTTAACATCGTCCAAACGCCAGTTATTGAGAAGAGAAAAGGGAATTGGAGACAGAAAGAACCTTTCGTAAATAACTATAATTTAGTTACAATGGAACGGCGGAAAAATACATTTAACAAATGTTACTCGGTTGAAAAATTGTACGAGTACCCCCCTAAATAGATTCCACTCTTTTTTTATTGGTCGAAGTGGATTTAACACGTGCCAAAACTTGTCAAAAAACGTGCCCCTCTATCGATTTTTCCAATCTCTATTATTATTATTATTATATTCGTGTATATTTGTATAATTCTGTACTTGATACGCTACGGAGAAAACTTGCTTAAACCGAAGTCTTTTCCCGTTTAAACAGGTTCCGTTTCAGACAGGTTTTTTAATGTATATTTAAAAATTTATAAGGAAAAAATTGATTATACAAACGATTTACAAAGAAATTTTACTGTTAGTTTATAAGAATTATTAAAATTTCTTGCCAAGTAACACAAGAAATTCGTTCTAAATTTGCAAATTTATGCAATAAATTTCACGAAAAATTCATTGCACGATATAATATTCTAGATCCGTGATTTGTATCGTGAGATTTGCACGATAATTCTCGATTAACTTTTCTTTATCTGTCAGGAGTGGCTCCAAATTGCAGGGTTCAAGCAAATCCAATAAGGAAGATCCCTCTTCAAATGCTACCCTTTAGGAGACAATATCTCCAGTATTTGAAAAAAAATAGACTAGTGTTTATGACTAGAGGCATTCTTTACTGTATAAAGAAGCAATAAGTGGTATTGTCACAGGTATATTTAGCTAAATACCATTCAAGGGATGGATTCTAAGTCTTCTCTAAGAGAACTTAAAGATGGAGTAATTCCATAAATACAATTTAAAAACTATATTTATCTATATGAAGAATAAATAAATTTGTAAAAATAAATAATTTATAGATGATCGATTGAGGAAGACATCGATTAAATTATCATTTTTAAATATATATAGGTATATATTTCAGATTGGTTCTGGGGCTATTAAGGTGATGGGGTCATATCTCCTGAACTAATGAATAGATTTTTATGAAAATTTCAAGAAACACTCCCTCCTAATACACAAACTTCTGTGCAAAATTTCAGAAATTTTCGACAATAGCAACGGGAGTTATTAAGTTTTCAAATTAGATAAATCCAGACGTGCCTCCCATCCATACGTGCAGAAAAAAACCCGCATCTTTCGAAGTTTCGAGGTTTATTGAGTCTAAAAAATGTAAAAAAAATTTGGGGGATTATTTCTTTTGATCGATTGCTGTACTCTTATAGTCTATATGACGGGCAGGAAAGTAAAAGTAAAATACTTTTAGCGATAAAAAATAATTTTATGTAGACCTGCACATGCATTATACTTTCGCTTTACGACCGCTCGCTTTACGACGAGATGACTTTTTTTTATTATAACTGTGTATATAAATGTCACAAGTTATATTTCTTAGCCGTTTCTGTGCAGTATTGAGGAGTTTAGAGTGATTTCCGGAATGGGAAACTCAATTTATGATAGTGAGCCGATGGAAAATAGACTCGCTGAACGACGGTCTTCTAAGAAATAGATAAGAGGGGGAAGAGAAAATGAGAGAAAAGAAAGGAAAAAGAAAGAACGAGAGAGAGAGAGAGAGAGAGATGAGAATGTGAGAGAGGGAATAGAGAATGAAAGAAGGGAGAAAAGGGAAGAATGAAAGAACAAGAAAGAGGAAAGGAAAAGGGGTGAGAGAAAGAGAAAGAGAAGATGAAAAAAAAGGGGAAAGGAAGGAAAGCAAGAACAAGAAAAGAGAGAAGAGAAGAAAAAGGTAAACGAGAGAGGGAAAAAAGAGAGAAAGAGAGAAGGGATAGGAAGGGAAAAGAGAAAGGGAGGAAAGGGAGAGAACGGCAGAAAGGATAGAAGGGGGAAAAAGAAGAGAGAAAACAGAGAACAAGAGATAACATAGGAGGAAAAAAGAGAGAGCGACAGAAGGATAGGAGGGGAAAAGAGAGAACGAGACAAGGAATAGGAGAGGAAAAAAGGGGAGAAAACAGAGAACAAGAAACAAGATAGGACGGAAAAAGAGCGAACGAAAGAAAGGATAGAAGGGGAAAAGGGGGGAGAAAACAGAGATCAAGAGACAAGATAGGAGAAAAAATGAGAGAACGAGAGAAGGATAAGAGGGGAAAAGAGAGAACGCAAGAAGGGATAGGAAAGGAAAAGAGAGAAAGATAGGAAACGAGGGGAATAGGAAAGGAAACAGATTTTAAAAACTAATTTTCCTTTCTAAAAACTGAGTTATAGTTATCGGTAAATTAACAATAAATCTAAAAATTATCAATCGACAGTTTACTAATCGATTCCCTCTCTGAATATACTGTAATAAGCACGTACTGTTTCGTCTCAGTCTACATTAATTGTGACGAAATTTGAAAAGACAATTAATTAACATGTTTACAATAATAATTCCGATTCGTATCTCTGAGCCGGGAATCGAACCAGACTCGCAATACGTCCGGATTTAAATAAAATTTCCATTTCTCAATGACACATCACTATCATTTGCGTAAGTCGCGTGACAAAGTTCTATTAAAGCGAAAGTCACATTTGTAAAATATTCGTGAATATTGATAAATGGACCAATACACCAGAATATTACAAAGAATAATTTTTTTAAATTAAGTTATTCAAAATGTTCCATATAAGATACAAAAGTAGATTTTTTTATAGGCCCATTAATAAAGAGAATTATTAATTATGTATAAATAAGGAGTCAAACTTCACGATAATTAATTATGAAGTGTTTAATTTTAATTGGGGAAAATTTAATTAAATTTATTAATAGAAGAAAGTCAAGTAAAATGATATTTTAACTCCATAATACGAAATTAAAAGAGCGAGGCCCTAACATATACTGTATAATACGGGTGTATTCCACATAATATAAGCATTGTAAACACGTGGGACGACATTGGGAGCTTCTTTAAAATCGATATGTATATACGTAGAAAGATTAAATGCGATAACTCAACGCGTTATACGCGTAATTATGTTTGTTAGTTAATGCGACGTCCATCATACGCGCCTCAGGAGGGATCAAACAGATGGATTTAAAATATATGTGAATCCCCGCGTGGCACAGATGCGATTCGTAGCGTAATCCCGTCATTTACATCTGTTTTCTCTGTTGTATTAAATCAAAAATATCCAAGTTTACTATTATTAATTTTTTCCACAATATACAAAAATAGGTATCAACCACGATTCGATTTCCTATAGTAGAAGGCCCTAAATACAGAAATCCACAGTTTCCAGGCGGTGGTTTATAAACAAAGACGGAAATTGTCGAGGGCCCCATCAACACAGGATCCAATCTTTCATAAGAAAACATTTCTGAAGTCAACACCGTACTGTACTGTACTGTATAGGCCTACATGAGGGGGGCCCTAAGGTATAACTCGCCACTTGTCAGAGGAATAATTATGAACTACTATTATTATAAACGAACGTTTGTCTATATGTCTGTGACCGATTTAACACGTTCCAGTCACTGTTTTATGACTGGCACGTCAAAATTTACAGAGATAATCAGGTAGTATTTGACGAATCGAGGCCAAATAAACAAAGAAAATATATGTCATTTGTATCGAAATTTTTCTCTGTCTGATTTCCTATTTGAAGACTGGAAACAACGTAGAATCGGCTATCCGGATGTTAAACAAGTTAACTTTCAAGACAACTGAATAAATAATTTTTCTACTTAATTTATATAAATTGTGATTACCGCTGATCTATAAAATACGTGGAATCCAGACTTTCTATTATTATAATATCACTTTTAAAAGCCAATTTTTAACTTAAATTCGTGTGTACGAAATTCCTTTTTTGAACGAATTTTTACGTATGTCGGACGAATCCGATTCGCTTTGTTTTCTATTTTTCTACTGTTAAAATCAATTATTTTATAAAAGTAAACCAGTCGACCCCCCTATAACACTGTTGATTATTCCGTTTTATATGAATTCCATGTTGTACGAGTCACTTAGATTTTACAAATACATATGCCAGGCTTACGTATTTGTAAAATCTAAGTGACTCGTACAACATGGAATTCATATAAAACGAAATAATCAACAGTGTTATAGGGGGGGGTACAATGGATAATCACGTCTTTCTAGCAGTGTTTATCCGTGTCTACTGTTTTCTACACCTCTCTATCTTATCTATGGTTTATAATCTACCATTTTTTATGATTTGTAACATTTTTACCCGTCCCCATCACTATTTAAACTGCCCTTATCTATGGTTTTTTTTTTTTTATTCATTTTATCCTCGCTATTCCTATGTATAATTTTCGATCGTTAGAACAACCACTGAATGTCCTTAATCCCCACCCAAAAATCAAAATTCTAGAGATGTGGTATATTAAATTACACCAAAAAAAGTATATTTCTCTTCATAACATACGTAAAAGATGATAATGTAAGAAATCCCTTTGTGTGAAGTGTGTTATATAGCGTTATGGACAGACACAAGTAAGTGATTATTTTGTAGACGAAAAAATAAATTATAGAAGAATAAATTTTAAAAAAATTATTCGTAATTTTAAATAATTTAAAATCGGAAAGTGATGTTAACTCCTTTTATATCAGGTGTTTTAGGCGATTAACCGTGCAAAGGGGAAGGAAATTAGTGTAGTTATGTCTTTCTATAAGCGCAATAACACGATATGAATTCATTAAATCTCATTTATATAAATTAATTGTATAAAATTATTGATTTATTAAGAGCAATTGTTGATATAGGCTACTTCAAAGACTATTATTCGTAATATTAAAAGGTATAGGTCTATAAATGAAACTTCTTTGTCTGAATCAACAAAAGATGTAATGTAAATCAGAGCTCTCTTGTTATAAAGAAGAACTTCCGTGCTTCTTGATAAATAAAATTGTCTGTCAATAGCGTGCACGACAGACAGACTGCTCGCATTGTAATTACAGGAATAGAAGAACAAAGAGGATAGAAACTTCCTCGAATTTAGACACAATCATTACAGAGCTCTTTTTTTTTTTTTTTTCTTTTCTTCTACAAAAATTTTAAATTAAATCAAAATTAACCCCTCTATACTACGATTTTTAAGTATTTTCACTCATTGTCTTTGGCCCTCCCCCGAAATATAGGTTATATAGGGCCTATAATATACAGATTTATGCTGTCACATTGAGCAAACGAGCCCAATTTGGACATTTAGCAGGCGAGATACCGGTCCACATAATCACATTTCACTAAATAATCATCGAGGGATGATCTCAGAATCCAATGAGGGGATAATAATAACCTTAATTTTATTTATTAGCTTTCAATTAGATCATGATAAATCTCATCGCTATAGGAAAAGGGTATAAATTGAGGAGAGTATTAATTGATCCATTTAGATAAGGGGGAAACAAAAAATTTAATTTAAAATAATGCGTTGTGTAGTGAGTGAGAGACGTGTAGTGTTCACGAATAGGAAGCGGTGCAAGTAGATGTGACCTTGTCCCGTTGGCGGAAGCACGTGACATTTAGCGCAAAAAAAAAAAAACACTTCTATATCTTATAAGTAAGAGATTTAAGGAGAAGGAAGCGAAACGGATGCGAAACCCCCCCGAAAATCTGGTCTGGATTTGGAAAAGAATGATGCGGATGAGTATCCTCTCGTTTATACTAGGTCTTCTGTTTGCGATTCCGCCGCCCGACTGCGTCAACTTTCTACGCCGAGATAAATTCCCCACATTCTCGAATCGCCTCCACCCTCCCGGAATTTCCTTCTTTATTAAATTCCATCGTATTACACTAATCTCTCGTTTGGATGTAAGTGTCGTTAGAGAAAAACTCTCCTCACTCCGTATCCAAGAAAGTGGCCAGAAATGGCCCTCGGAGGAAGGAAATACGGGCAAATTTTTTAAAATTTCCATCTTAGATTCTCGATTCATCCAATTCTTTTCTTTATTCTTAAAGTAGATGGAAAGAAATTTGGCACGCGCCAATATACAGAAACTGTAGGGGAAGAGGAAGCTGCCGTCTGGACTCGAAGACGCCAGAACACAAGAGGAAAGTCGGAAACGATGGAAAATGCCACCGTTTAGTCGCCACCAATCCGGACAAATCCGGATTCCGGATTGATTACGTCACCCTCTCTCTCCCACCTTTTTTTTTTTTTTTTTTTAATTAACCGCCGAGTAAACTTTAATACTTTTGCGGCTTTCCTATTAAATTAAAGACACTTCCGGGAATTTTCCACGCGAGAAAAACACGGATTAAACCTTCTATAGATCAAGAATTCCAAATGAATTAATTCTACTTTTTTTTTCTGCCTATCGTTGCAGAATTTTAGGGCTATCAAACGTTTAGGGATGCAATAAAGTCAGAAAAAAAAAATGCTCTCTTACAGTACGCCATCGCATGCATGATTCATAAAGTATAGGCCATTGTAATGTGAAGTGATGTATAGTATATTGCCCATCTCCAGTCGCTTACACCATAAATTTGTTCTACCTTCCATCAACGTAATATATTTTCGTTACCGGATCGACTTAACTTATATTTTACAACTCGACGGGTAGATTAATCAACAGGTTACGCTCTTTCTAAGTCGCGCGTAACAGAAGCGATACTATACAATAGAAAAGCCAATCGTAACGTCACTACAGTGAAGTTCCTAAGAATGGATACTTTCGGAAGTTATTCGCTTGCATAACCGAAAATATTCGTGGTTTATGGGTCTACAACATAATTGGAAACGATTACACGTTCCAGATCCAGGATGCCACCGTTACAAAGCGTGCCGTGCCCCCACTTCGTCACTGCAACTCCCAGAGCTACGATAAATCTTATATTAAAAGCGGGACCGTCACCGTTCGAGGGTGGTATAAGTTATCCGACGGGAAACCTCTCGAATATGTAACGTGTAAAATTGAGACTTCTGAAAAGTCTTCTTACCTGGAAGAGGATCCGTTTGGGTGGAGTCGACGTCTTTCTTGTCCGCTAATGCCTTCCGTCCCGAATACCTCTTCTTGACAAGGAAGGAACGAGGCATTTTTGACTTCCGTGTCGTCGGCCGCGATTCTTCCGATTTCCTCGCTCCTCTCCTCCTTCCGTTGCTCTCCCTTACCTCGTACTACCCGCTCGACGAACGATACCGCTATTGGACGCTTCGGCGACGTTAGGAGGAGCTTACTACGTTCGGACCAATGGAGATCGAACGGATCGGCTGTTTGTTCCGCCCCGTCATTGCGTCATATATATATATATGTATGTATAAAACTTTATCTTGGAACGGAAAAGACGCATTTATGATGAAATAAACGAACTTAATAAACTAGAAATTAATGTAAAATGTAAAAAAGAGAAAGAGTTTCTCCGATAATCGCTTGTAGAAGAGCTCATCGCTTAAGGATGGGCGTGGCCTCGCTCGACAGACGGAAACGTCGTCTTAAACAAAAATCAAAGAAAAAAAAAACATTACTATTCTCTACCCAATTCGACGGATTAACTATAATCGAGTTAATCCTCAACAGGAATTAATGAAACGGCCGAAAAATGGCCGATCCGTGTCGTTGTTTTAAATGACGTTTTCGTCGGAAACCAAATCGGGGGCGTGGCCCCGAGAGAAAGGAGGACTTAAGACCATACACGAGAGAAGAATGCAATTCGGATCGCGACGAAACGGAAAGGGGGCGTCACCCTCGAATCTGTCCTTCTTAATACACCGACGAAGGCGGTGCTTAAAAAAAATCCAGATTCGTCGCCGGAAGTGCCCCGATAAAATTAACAATTTTCCACCCGAATTAACCGGAAATAGCCCCCCAATTCTAATTTACGCGGGACAAAATACTACGGTAAAATCTAGAATAACTAATAGTAACAAAAGTAATTAGAAGTTACACAAAGTACAATACAAAATTTTAAAAAAATCTGGCAAGTCATTGACATTGTTTAGATGATCGACGAACGCCTTAAGTGACAAAGAATGTAGTACTGTACCGTACCATAACTAACCAAAAACGGTCCAGTACCGTTTAACACATCGAAGCAAAAAATTAAATGTCACACATAATAGAGATTTATGGTAGAAATTAAGGTCCGGATCGATAGGAGGGAAGCGTGTGTAGCACGTGACGATATCAATAAATAACGCACGATTAACTTAATTAACATACGGAAGCAAATCACAAGTTTTTCGAGTTAATTTAAAAGAACAGAAAGCAACGATTACGTCACGAGACTCCCCGTTTTAATTGTTTGCCTCGTGTTTTCAATCTTCGTGTTTAACAACTGTTCCGGACGCGTTATATACACGTGACATATTTTTCCTCCTATTTGTGTCATAGTTTTTCTACCGATTTTAAGTGTGAATAACCCAGAATTTTGTTTAAATACTAAAAAAATATTAAAGCCCGTAATTCATCCCGTGTTAAAATATGACGAGAATTACGTAGTCGATTTGTAATTTTATCAAAGAGGGACACTTTTTTCGACCGCGTGCACTTTCTTTTCGGGTGTTTTTTTTTTGGAATTATTTTAGTAGAGGATCATTTATAGGTTATATTAAGTGAAAGAGGGCACGAATGAGTTTAGGTACACTACTGGGGTTAAAAATACAGTTTAGGTGTCGAATTAAAGCTCATATCCTGTAGATGCTGCGAAGTGGCAAATGTACTGTACAGTACATTACAATACAATGTAGATGAAAATAGAGACCAAATATGGAAAGATTACAGGCTGAAGATCCCGATTAATTAACTATACCTTCCGGTCTAGAAAGGAAGTTTAAAGTAAAATACGATTTAAAATTGCCACTCCGTGACGTCACAATAAAATAATTGTTCGTTTAAAAAAAATCAAATAATGAATTTGATTAGATTCGTGATAAAATTGACCGATAGACACGCGAACGAACTACATAAAGAGTTGATTAATTAACAAAGCGCTTGGTCAGCGATTTAAAAAAAAAATGAATTTGTAAAACGTTCTATTTTAATATATCCTATATTCCTTTCTTGATTTATTATTAACTTCGTTATTATTTAATACAGCCAATTAGCTTCGCTGATGATCCAAGTATCGAATGTCTCTTTTCTTTCTTTACTCAATCGATTTCTTTATTTTGTTCGTTGAAAATCTGAATTTCTCGTACGTTTCGATTAGTAAAACACAGAGAAAAACAACACCAGAACCTTTAAGTTTATGCAAATGAAGCAGATCTTCCAAAAAAAATGGAGGTGTTTTTAGGTCGTATGCCACCAAAGTTTCCTACTTTGACGTCTCGTGGGAGATTCAAATTACGTATAAACGGGAGTGGATCGGATAGTCTTACACCTGTTGTGAGCCCTCTAAATTTATGTATTTAGTAGAAGAACAATCGTCCTATCGATTCCGAACTCTCGTATATGCAAATATTCCCTGTTAAATTTATAAGACGACAAAGGAAGACGTCACAAATATCGACGAGAACAAACTTTGATTGTTTTAGTCATTAACTCGGGTCTGCAGCAACCCACGTCCCCCGAGAATTTATCTGATTCTAACATAGGATACGTTACATAATATGAATCTAGAGTTAATGAATACGCGGTGTAAGTATAGTAGAGACATCGGTCGAGTTACACTAGCTTCTCGTTTTGTTTTCTTTCTTTCTTTATTAAAGTTAAAATACAAAAATATACCCCAATTTAACGAATACAACGAGTTTATAACGAGCATTTCTTACCTTATAAAGACGTGACAACATAAGAACCTTTACGTTTATATGCCTACATTAGAATACGCTAACATAATTACATAGTTACACTTACAAATTGTAAGGATAAATAAGTTAAAAGCGTATATATATGTGTGTTACGGTTACATATTTTAGTCTATAATTTGTAGCAAAGTAAACGTTCTTTAATTAGGAACGGTAGAAGAATTGTGACGATGGCACAATAAATAATTGTATTTCGTGCCAGATTTATAATAAATTTTGTTTTAGGGGTTACATCGCCACCGTGACTGGCAATAGTGTATATAGTACAGTACAATAATTTCACATTTATTCTCGGAATTGCAAACACATGCTTTTAATTAACTGCTTTGTTACGCGCGTATAGTACATATACTGTACTGTACTTCTTCTATAAGGGATTTAGTTAGTTTTATATAAGTGATTTTATTATTTTTGGCACGTTCCTCTTCAATTTTAAAGCGTTAACTGTGTCCTAAACGGAGGTAAAAAAAAAAAAAAAACATGGCGGATCATGGAAGTTGACACGTTAAACGTCATCGGAAGTAGACAGAAACGACAATGTCTGTAGAACGAGATTTGTAAAAGACTGACAGCAGCTGTAACAAAACAAACAAACAAATGTTAACGCTCGGATAGAGAGCATTTGGAATCGTTTTCACGTTAATACAGATGTCGCACGACAATTGGCATCTGTGCTAACACGGGCGAAATCTTGTCAAAGAACGACTAAACAGGGAAAAAAATCAAAAAAAGGGAAAGGGACAGTCTATTTTTTGATGTAGCCCACAATAAAAACGAATCTAAGTTAATTGTGTGACGTGGGAAGATCGATTTCCACTGGGTTTACATAGGACTAGTGAACTCGCGGTTACAGTACAAAAGAAAATGTAGCGATGTAATAAAAATCTAACAACGAGAAAATAATATAAATAATGTCTTCTAAGAGTTGTGTGATTCTTCTGTTGCCATTTTTGTTTTATTATTTTTGATGTGGTGTTCGTATACAGTACAGTATAATACATTTCCCTTCGTTCAGTCGGTAGCATTTTATTTATAGAATGCATGCTGACAGCTTCAATCGAAAGGGGGAAATTTATAATACTGGATTTATCAGAATTCATTCTATTTATTACCCTAATTAAATATAATTTTAAAATAACGTCGTTCCTACAAATAATGGTAAAAAAAAATTTCTGAAGTTCTGGTCTCTTTACGAATGGTTTCTACTCGTGCAAGACGTGGTTAAAGGATCAAAAGATGGCTACCAAGACGTTCTATAAAACTACAGATTGCTGGTATGTGGAGCGAGATTCGCCCCGATTAACCGCGTGGAGTTTTCTGAATTTCTTCACGTGTCTAATACGTAAATAAGAGCAATCTTGCCACAGAAATTCCTCCCAAAAGAGACCATCCCTTTGGTAGATCTTGCACCATTTAACATTAGTAGTGTCGTATTATCTTTATTTCATTAATCCAATCCAAATGATGCCGCGGGAAACAAATCCTTTCCTGATAATCCTTGAAAAATAACAAGGATTCCTTTTAAAGGATCATCAGGAAGAAGAAGCGATCAAAAATTCGGACTCCCGCTGAAAACGCAACACGCCATTCGGATAGTTTTCAATGAGGGTGTCGAGTAAAGGCATCGAAATAGACAGGCACATATTGCCGTAATTATTTTCTATTAAATTTGAAAATTGCCACGCGCAAAATGGGCTGTCTTCGAAGAGCTTCCGGCGACCGGGCTCTTTGTTCGGGAGGTATGACGAATTCTGTTTGCCCACCTGTGCCACCGACTCGTTAACCTCGGTGCATCCAGGACGATGCCCCCGGACGATGCTATTGTAATAGGGTAGCTGATCTATGTACCGTTCGAAAATGAATCACGTGATGATCCCTATTAACTAGTTGCCGTGTTGCCAGCTTCACAGTCTAGAGCCACTAGAATTTGGCGTTATTTATAGATTAAGAGGGTCCAGTTGAGCCAGTTTTACGTCTTCTAGTGTCCATATATTGTGTCTACTTACAAGTTTGCGTGGAAATTTACATATAATCCGCACACCTCGGAAGTTTCCGCTTATAGTAATATAATTTCGAATGACATACGTGTTTAAACCCCGTGATTTATCCCCAAAAACTTTCCACGTGCTAACGAAAAAAAACCCCCCTCCATCCTTTATCTAGCGCCATCTGTGGAGACGAAAATAAATCATTTTATCGGTTTAAAAAAAAAAAGTTTTTAAAGTATTTTAAAAATTTTATTCGACTACTAGAGGTCGCTTTCAGAAAAATCCCTCTAGTGATTTTTTTTTTCGGTTTTAAAATTTAATATCAAAATTTATATTACGTTTTAAGACCAAAATTATATATATAATTTTTTAATTCTTTATGTCGTCTTAATATTAATTAAGGATAATCGAGTACTGTACCAGATTTAAAAAAAAAAAAAAAAATGTGGCGACGTCACGTAATAAGGCCGTAACATCGTAGATGACGCGATACACCATAGCCTTTTAATTAAGTCCTTACAGGAGGAAAACTCTCATAATTAACCTTAAAACTTTTTAAAATATGTCTTATAAGCAAAGGATTTAAGGAAAAACAATTAATTTAATACTAAACAGGGCCGAATAGATAGCGTCGTCGACATTATTCAAAAGATGGTTGACGAGAATTCTTGTACGTACTCCTGTATTGTTTTTTTTTGTTGCTTGACTCACAAGTTAACTGACAAATGAAAAAATCGATGACATTTGACAATTCACAGACCACCCCTTGGGATTCTTACTACAATTTCTTTTTTTTTTTTTTTTTTTTTTTAAATTACCGCAAATTCTGATCAGGAGAAAAGCTCCCGACCGAGACAAACACAGGAATTCATAAGACAAATGCATATTTTAGTGAATAAAGCGAGTGGAGGAGTACTGTGTATTTAATTTTCAATTTTAATTAATATTTTTACCGTTAAGTTTTTGATTTACGGAGCGATCGATCTTCCTTCGAAGACAATTGAATGTCTACTTGGAGTCCGAAGCGATCGATGAAACGAAAAATCTATTATATACTTCTTATCGAAAATCTGAAAATAAACATAAATACCAAAGCTATGATTCTTTGTAACGAATTTTAACGACCGTTCAAATCAATTTATAAATCGATCCGTTTTATTGGACGAGTTAATTCGCCGTAATAATAATGCCAAAGGATGTGATTCCCCGCCATTATTGTGGATAATTTTATGTTTCGAAACGTGAATTGAGGAGGGATTTTTCTCGTATTTTCTTCACGTTTTTTTTTGGGGGAATTTTAAAAAAAATACGATGATAGTTATTATTTTATAGATTATTTTGCATGTGGTGACAACTGTCAATTTTCCTTTCATTTTGAAACACGAAACACACTCCGACCATGACAATTGAGACCCTTCTCGATTGTTTCTTTTGAAAGGGAACCATAATTTGTGAGAGAAACCCTATTCCTCTCTTTAGAAATTCACCATAGAATGGAACTTTTCGGTTCGGTTTAAGTATAACATCGGGTATTAAGTTGCAACAATTAATAAGACGGTGTGTGAAGTGCCATTGTTTCGTGACCTTTTCGTTCCTTTCCGCTACTAAATATATATGTAAAATTTCGCTCCAACACAGAATAAATCAGTAAAAAGTCCAGCAACGAGTTGCTTAACTTTTCCGGCGACATCTGATTACATTTTAACTAATTATAAAATGGCAAAAAGCTTAATTTTGTGGGTTAATTGTGAATGCCAATAACCAGTAAAATCGTCACGAAGTCCGACCCTACTGGAGATACATACGATCCCCATTATTTCCCTTGACCCTTAATCAATCTCCCTTTGCTTCAACTATTATTGTCAAATAATTAAATCATAAATATGAATGATGTACAATACAATAATTCAGTAAAGGGTACTGTACAATAATGATTGTAACAATGGCGCGATAAAGTAGCTTCTAGAAAAACAAAGACGACATCGCATAACCATAAAGTTTACTATTCACGCTTCGATAGACTAGAATCACTTGACTGATACACATCTATTATAGACATGGCTTGGGCAAATTGCATGTTTGCACAGGGGCATCCAGCAAATGTGAACAATCGGGGAATCTTGCATAAGTTCTAGAACTTCATAAAAGAAAGTTAAAACATTACTGTTTAATTTGCTAATTTCCGCGATACTCCAACGATTTTAATGTGAAGCCAATGCTGGGCTGCAATTTTTAATCTATATAATTTAAAATATGGGCTCTCCACCTCAAATTAGTGGTGGCTTGCCCCTGCACAACATGCTTTTCCTTTAACAATAGAGTTGTGCCGGTCATTTATTTACTGCTTTAGGCATTTTTATGCATGAAATACAGCTTAAAAAAGCTTTGTTTTGCGTGTCGGAAACGGATTGATCCATTTTGTTGTTTCTTATAGGAAAATTTGTTTCGATCTTAAAATAAAGAAGCATTTGATTTTTTGTTTTTAATTAAACAAGAACAGCGGAAAAGCAAACGACAAATGAAAGAAAGTTGTTCGATTATGCAAACTCAATTATCGTGATTGAGTAGCAAGTGATATATTGGTGGGGGTGAACAGAAGCATGTCAAACTGGACGACATTGACTGTTAAGTAGGGTGTATGGTCATCCAAGACTGCCAAAACACACTGATAGCGATGGGGCCTTGCATTGTCGTCCATGAAAAGAAAGTTGTTTCCAACCACTACAGCATAGGGTACCACTATAGGGTATCTCGATATCTGACAGTAATCAGCGATCTGTTTCTGATAATGTGGAAGTAGGTACGACCACCAATGCTGATGCCAGTCCACACCATGATTCCACTACCACCGGAGTCCCTTTCTCGCATTAAACATAGATTCTCCCATGTTCCTCGTTCACGCCAGATTAGGACACGATGATTGTCAGGGTGCAGACGGAACCGTGACTCATTAGAGGACAGTTGACCACTCATCACGGGTCCAATAACGATGCTCACCAGCCCACCTTCTACTGGTTTAACGGTGTTCGGCAGATAACGGAATACATACCATTGGTAGCCGAGCACGAAGTCCAACACGATGGAGCCTATTTCGTATGGTCTGGGTGCATATCCGTCGTCTAGTGGCAGCAAAAAACTGTCCCGACGGCTGCTGCGCCTATTCCTTCTTGCCAATAAGGTCATGTAGCGGTCATCTCTTGCTGTTGTGGCAAATGAGTGACCCTGCCCTCGTCATCTTCGTACTGTGCCAGTGTCTTGAAAGCAATTTTACAGTCTGCTAATCACACTTTGGGATGTTCAAGTGCTATTGCCACTGTCGTCTGTGTTTGACCAGCTTCTAGACCTCCCATGTCTTTCCAGGCTTCGCATTCGGGCAAATCGTGTTGCAGAAGCATTGCAAGTGTTGGGAAATTGCAGGATGTCCACTTTCAAGTTCCCTGAACTTGAAAGTGGACACTTGTTTGCTTTTCTGTTCTTGTTTAATTAAAAAAATCAAATGTTTCTTTTTTCTTATCGCTTCATATTCGTTTTNATTATATTTTGAAGCTTTCTTGCTCTAGAAATTTTTACATAATTTTTTTTATATTACTTATTTAAATAAAAATATTCTATTTTTACTTTGTGAATATAGAAAATAGTTTATAGGAATCTTAGAAAAGTGACTTGAACTCGAACAGATCGGTTGCAAAGTTATTTGTTTTACTATTAAATGGAATTTCCTTTCTTTCCTACATAACAATATCCACTTTCAGTAAGAAAATTGAAACAATACTATTAAAGAAATTTTTTATATTTAATATTCTTTTGAAGAAAACACGTTGTTTTAATTCGCGAAAAATTTATTCATTCATTCTAAATGCATAATTTACACAGAAACGCGAATACTTGTGCCGTGTTTTTTTTATCCGTTCGCAAAATATACAAGTAAAACACAAACACGTCAAGACGCGCGTTACTATTCTTTTGATTCTTAATTTAAATTCTTTAACACCCGCCTACGACTATTCAAATTCAAATCACAGGAAATTCTTTAGGATCTATTCGGAATCGTACTTCCTACCGTTCACGTGACCCACTAGGTGATGCCTTAAGTCGAGCCCGTCGGAGAACTGTTCTTCGCACAAGTTGCATCGGTACGGCTTGGTACCCAAATGCTTTTCCAGGTGCATCTTTAATATTTTGAAGCTCTGAAAAGCGATATGGCACACTTCGCAGACAAATGGTCTATCGGCGCATCTACTTCTACAGATGAGTTCTCTCTTAAACTTCACGTCGCACCACTTCTTGTGCCTGCAGAAAGCGGAATGGCGCGCGAAAGCGCAACCGCAACACACGCAAACGAAATCGTAAAGTTTGCGACCGATGTGTCGCATCAGGTGTTCTTTCAAATCGATCCTGACTACGAAATGTTCGTCGCACAGGTTGCAACGGTAACGTTCGTCACCCAAGTGTCCTCTGAGATGAACTTTTAGGGCAGGAAATATGTGAAATCCTTCCCTACATATTTCGCAAACGTACGGCTTTTCGCACGTGTGCTTCTTTAGATGATAATTTAGATTAAATTCGCAATTGAGTCCTTTCCCGCAGATTCCGCAAGTAAATGGCTGAGAAGAAGAACCGAGATGCATCTGAACGGAAGGAATGTTGTGATATTCGCTACCGCACACGGGGCATAACACTTTAAATTTCGGACTCTCTCTATTAAACAGCTTCATGTCTGAACTTTCCTCTCGTACCGAATTGTCGCTGGAGAAATCGGTCATACCTAAAAACAACCAGATTAAGAAGCTTCGATTAGACATAATAACGTGCACTCGACTGGAGGACTATTTTATTTTTTATATCGAAAAATATTTTTCATCCGTCTTACATTTAATGTCCGATAATCAAATCTCAGAGCCGTGCAGAAAAAAGTCAAAACATTTTCATATTAGGTTCAATTATAGGTTTGTAAATAAATCATCCAGAGGGGGCGCTACTCGGCTAAACGATTTAGTTAATTAGTCGAAAAGTTAATACTTCTTTTATTTTTCGATTAATATTTATATATTAAAGAATTTTAAAAATATAAACGAGAAAATACGTGACAGCCACTTCCGCCCGATCGTAATTTTCAAATAATTACGATTACGTCACGATACGATTCCTCGAAAGGAAAACGTCGATTGGAAGAAATCGACAATTTTCCGAATTTAAAAAATGGCGGCGTCTTATTATATAACCGACGTTATATTATAAATTTTATAACAGCGATAAATAAAATAATTTCTACCTCTGAATTTATCCCTATTCCATTCTCGTCGAATCAAGGTTTTTACATAATACGGCTGGCAAGCTGAGAAAATTTTCTGTTTAGTGCCACTTTCGCTCACTAGGAGCGCTGCGGCTAGGATGCAGTTACATTTAAATTCAGAAAAATGAATTGTCGCGCTTTATTTATTTATTTTTTCAAATGAAGATATTTTAATATTCAATATGACTTAATAAAATGTATACAATAATTAAACCATCCCATATTATTTTGGCATTACATTACAAAGCTTAGAAAAGGTTTATCACCCCACTGATTTAATCTAACAACCAAATTCCATATGTTATCCTATGGGCAAAAAAGGGTAATTGCTGGAGCCGCTGAGAATATTTCCTCAAATAATTCACCGTAAACGGGCTGCTCCTAATGCAAATCTGCCCGGGCGCCGTACGGCTATAACACGCTACCGCATACAAATCAAATGGGAGGAGATCTTTATGGGGAAAAGTAATATCTTTAATTAATAGGCATGGATAAGAAAACAAAGGTTAAAAAATGATTTTTTTCAAAACTGTTCCAGTGTTAGAATAATGGAAGTTTAAAAAGTACAGTCTGCATGTGATGTGAAAATGTAGTATTTGTTACAAAAATTGTGACTTACTTTCTAAAAAAAGGTTTTATAAAATTTATGTAATGGCAAATTTTATTATAGCAACGTACCACGTTGCCAAATACGATGACATTTTCCGAAAACTGTTGGGGTCGACGCGGGCTATGGCGAGCTTTTGAACATTTTGCAGCCCCGATGGCAATTTTTCCTCCACGGACAGAAATGGCTAAAGATTATAATTCTAATGTCTTAGGAACGTGTTTTAGGCATTCCGAGGGAACGTAATGCACTCTGTTTAGATGATAATCTATCAGACGCAGTACTACTTAGGGTAGAACAATCAGGACTTATTATTTTCAGATAATCTAGGCCTAATCCATAATAGTACACATTCTAAAAACCCATTTGACATCATACCGCATTCTACACTTATTTTCGCATTGTGACAAATGGACTGTATAAGCAACTTTTCTTTTTATTAATGGCTCTCAACTTCTTTTTTATTTTTGTGTAATTAATTGTTTGAAAAGAGAATATACCTGTTCTTTGTATTTAAAACTTCTTGCAGAACTTTCTGATGAAGTAGATGGAAGTACTAAGAAGTCACTTGTAGACTCAGACATTAGTCTCTTCATGTATAACCTGAGACATAGAAGCAATCTTGATGTTTTCTAATAAATAAATCAAAGAGTTAATGGGTATTAGAAATAAATGAAAAATAAATAAAATTAACTTACCAATAAATTTACTTTCTTCTTCATTGATGACAAATTCCTTTCCTTTGGAGCTTACTTGTCAAATATTACTTTGGGAGGTTACGAAATATCGATTTGCCTTGAAAGTTAGTAGAAATAGGATGAGAGAAATGGACCCTTAACTCTCTTATAAAGGATTATGAAAATTAGGTAATACATAATTGAATGAATAACTGCTATATATTTGCACAAAAGGTTTTGGGCACTTCAAGTAATAAGTTTAAATCTGAAATTTGTAAAAACAACAAATAATCTAATTCATTCTTTTAGAGAGTGGATTGGAAAATTGATATTTTATGCTATTTTAAGTACGACGAGGGTTATTTTTATCCGAATTAAATCACCATCTACATGATAAGAACAGTAAATCTCAGGCGGGTTTGTCCAAAATACTGTTACAATATCATATTGGCAATAATTACTACCGTAACCGGCAAGAGGTCACGACTGCAGTTACCACTAATAAGGAAATATTATATCTGCGCTCCCTCTGCATGGAAGAACTTTGGTAAGGAAAATGAAAATAAAAGTTGTGTAGTGAAAAACTCTCTCGATATCAGCATGCAATCGAGATCTGTTGAGATTAACTTTTGTTGCAACAGCTCAATAGTATCAATTTTGACTTCTAGTTCTATAATTTAAACTACCTTTGGAATAAGCTGCTTCTTATTCAAGAACGATTTCCGAATTTATGTTCCAGTGACAAAAATAAGTAACCTTCACTCCCTCCCTTCACTATTAACTTGAATTTTACTTAAAATTTCACAAAACTGTATACCTAACTTTTCGGAAAGTGCAGTTTCTCAAAATTAATATCATTGTTTGTTTTAGATGGCCATTAATTTACCGATTTAATTACGTCGGAACAGAAAAACAAACTAAAGAAAAAAATCACAAGCATTTATTTTAAAATAGTCCACCCGAATGCAATACTACAAGCCGCAACTTATGACCGAATATAATTTTTTCTTTACATAAAATTTAAATGAAACTTTTAAAACTTTAATCATAGTTTCTCTTCGCTGCTCAACTTATCTTCACTCCTCTCTCCACTGTTTAATAAGGCCTTGTTCATTGGTTTACCTAAAAGTAAACAAAGTTTAAAAATCTTAAATATACAGCTCATGCCATTAAAAAAGAATCAAATGCTAAAAATAAGCATTTAATGTGTTTGAAAATGGCTTAGTATAACCCTTTCACTTATGAAACATTGTTATGAGAACATTAACAGACGTAAATATAATTCTCATAGACCAAGTATTCATCTTACTGTTAAGCTTGCCTAATTGACTAGGAATGATAGCAATCGAGAAAGGTACGAGAAGGATATATTATTGATATTCAGGTATGCATAGGTAAACATAGTAAAGACAGCCAACTCCAGTATTACTAATAAAAGACAATAAGGGAGCCAATTCATACAGAAAAATAAGGAGGAGAGAAAAAATAGTGCAGAAGCTTCAGTCAAAACAAATCACACTGCACCACGATTTAAGTAATTAAATCTATTAACCGAAACGCCGTTCAAGACCACCACATCACACAAATTCGATTTCATCATGCATGCCAACAATTTAAAAGTGAAAGCATTCTATGTTCCAAAAGCAATTTAAAATTCAGAATAAGTTTGATTGATCTGAAAACAAGAAACATCTCAAACACTTAATCTAAAGCTATTTATGAGCAATGCCTCAAACTATAGCAAGGAATTATATATATGTTTTAATGTAAAATGGAGTAGTCTGTTTCAAGAGAGACAGCAAACAAGTAAAATTCTTAAAAAATAAAATTATGGCAAGCAGTAACAGTAATAATTACAAAGAAATACTATATTTACAAATTCTGTTTTTCATTTTATACTCAATATTCTACTTTTGATATTGTTACTATTAAAAAGTAGACCAAGCTTTAAAATTTTCTTCTATAAAATAAGAATAGGAGACAGAATAAACAAAAAAATAAATATGTAGGAAAGACTAAAATGTCTTCATTTTCACTATGTCGAATTGCAAGAAACAGTCTTCCGTTGCAGAGACAACTTTTTATTACAGTCAGCGGAAGACTGTTGTTCCTGGTGATTCGGCATGGCAAAAACAGACATTTCAGTCTTTCATATGTAATTTTTAATGTGTAAATTTGTCAGTCATTTTTTAACAGAATAAATAAGTTTATTAAATTTGATTTTTTTTCAAACCAGTTACGGTTTGGCTTTAGGACGATTCTAAAAATAAAACAAAGCAGCAAAATGCCTTACAGATTGTTCTACTTACTGTGGAAGCAAGAAAATTTGACATTTTTGTAATGTTTTGAAGCAACTTTATACCTTCAGAAGAGTTTAAACTTGACTAAAAAAGTTTAGAGATTCTATAATTTTAATCTTTATTTCAAATTCCAACATTTTAAAACAATAATTCTTTTAAAAATCTATTTATTTCTCTCTTCACAAGATGATTGAAAAGCTTAAAAGATGTTTCTGTATACTTTAGATAGTCATAAAAAGGAGAATGTATATTATGTCATTTAAATTACTGAAAATTTTATTTCACTAAATATTTAATATCGCACTAATAGACATCCACTTTCACAAATTATGTAAATAATTCTATTACAGATACTTCCTGCATATTAATTCTGTTATACCATTCATTGCAACCTTATCACAGAAAATACAAATTGTTCTACATTGCATCTATGATCTGAAAATTGCATTTTATCTCTTCCAAATATAATTTTTGCTAAGAGATTGTATCTATGATGTTATAAATTAAGTTAAATAAGTTATAATTTATAATATAATAATCATCTATAAAATAACAAAAAAAGTATACTTACCAAATATACTTAGAAAAATGGGGAGAAAAATGAGCCCGTGAGAAGCGCCGATCAACACTATTCCCAGATACATCCGAAAGTAAAAAATTTTAAAAATTTGTGACTTAGCAAAATAGAGAACGATAATGCCTCCAAATTTAGTCAAAGTTATTCCAGACAACACCTAGTAATATAAAACAAAATGTTAAATTACGTATATTATATGTCTGAAATCAACATATTGCATTAATCGAAAGCAGACTAAGTTTTCAATTTTTAAGAAAACTTTGTTGAGTTCATTGATAAATTATTTGTTTGAATATCATTTGTCAAACAAACAAAGCTTTAACTTAATCTTAAATATTTAATAAAAAATTTTATAATTATAGCAGTTATATAATTTAGGTATTCGAGCTGCGACGGCCGATCTAAAATCGGTGGTTTGCAACCTTTTCAATCTAACACCATAAAATTTTTGGTGAGATACCCCAATCAGTCAGTGTCACAAATCATCCTTGTGTATGTAAATAAAATGTGACACTGAAGATCTGGAGTTTATTAGCATTTTAAAATAATTTTTTTTTAATTTTATAGTACATCTATGAAGTTTGTGGCATACCAATTGGAAACCACTGAGATAGATCGCTACTATATCACTAAATCTGTGGTTCCCAATGTGGGCACACGTCTCGCAGGGGAGCAATTTGACTTTTTGAGAATGGGTTATTATTAACGGTGAATTTGAAAGCCTGCCAATGTGAGAATTTGTTCTTATATATTATTCATAAATTTGGCAAAGAATGTTTTTTTAAATTTCTCTCTTTCCGTGCCACCATCTTCTTAATGTCTTTTCTTTTAAGATAACAATGGTAAGGAGTAAAGGTTATTTCAAGCAAGTTAAGTGGCTTGATTTTACATTGATAAGTCTGGTGATCTTAGAATAAAGTAAAAATGTATTTAGTGTTCACACAGTTATTATTGAAGGGCCTTGATACATAAATTTTTGTACTTATAACTGCTCTAAATACTTTTGATAAAGTAAATGTCAAACAAATAGCAAGCTTACTAGTACCACAAAAGCATAAATATATGTTTCATGTTAAATTTCTAGAATATAAGCATACTAAAGCATAAGCATTTTGCTATAACTATAAACTTCTTTTTGGCACAAATAGTAAAAATCGCCTTATACCACAATTTATGGTGAAGTGAATGTAATAACTGTGAATAATTAAATAATCAACAAATCCATTCATACATTTCTTCAACGACAATATGTTTACCGTTTGTTCTCTCGACGAAAAGAATTTACCATTTTAAATGTTTTGCATGCACATATCCGAAGAGTGAGTGCCAGTGTTAAACGAAAAATTTTACCGACAAATAGTCAATTATAAAATATTGTCAGTAAAGCCAGGAACTAAAGGAAATTTTAGAATATTTTTCTATAAATTAGATTTCATTTTCAAATAAATACTTCGGCAAAAATATTTATATGGGAGAGCAAAAAAACATCTATCTAGTATTGAAATGTAAAATATAATTTCATTAGTAGTGCACTACAACAAATTTAAGTTAAAAATATATTTTACTGTTAAGTTTACTCACCGAACTTCCCATCTCTGCTAGTGCACTTTCTGCTCTTGCTTTTTTTGACCCTTCGTTACTGACGGCATATGCCCGAACAATGTGAGAACAAAATTCTACTGAGATTCCAATGGCCTATAAATAAGAATTGTAATTTTAGTTGTAAATTTTTAAGTTATGGTAAAATAAATTTAAAATAGTATAAAATGTAATTAATTTGTTAGATATTCTATGTTAAGTAATATCAGGTTATGTTTTATTGTTATGTTATATATAAAATAAACAAAAATACAGACATAGAAAACAATTGTTCATATATTTATAACACGCACAAACTTGGAGTTATCATATTTTATAGCATATAGGATACACCGCTATTTTAACACAGACCACTTAGAAAAATTATTTAGTGTATTTACGCTATACTGAAACTTAAAGGTTGGATGTCATGCCTATCTTTTTACTAAATTAAAAAAGAAATTTTCACAGAAAGGAGTTAAGTATGTTTAAAATAACGTTTTATTGCTGCTAGCACTTTCACCTGAGGACGACGACATATTATAAGGTGTCGTCCTCAGGCAAATATAAAATTGAATAAACCTTTTGAACAAGCTTTTTTAAATTTGAAAGCTAACGGCATTAACTGTTAGCTTTTAAATTTAAAAAAGCTAATGATAAATTTAAATTTATTTGATTATATAAGGCCTGAGTACGACGCCTTATAATACATCGAAAGCGCTAGCAGTAATAAAACGTTAGTTTAAACTTATGCTATACTGAACCTTCTGGTACTCTGGAACCAAATTTTCTTTACTGTATTGTTGTTAAAGAGAGTAAAATTAGAATTCACACTTATTTATTAGGGAAAGAGAAGTTTAAAGGAACTTTTTTTTTACAATTAAAATTTATCAATGAAATATTCAACATAAATACATGCAAAAGCTGCTTGGCTATAGTAAATAATACTAATATTAAAATGTTTAAACAATAACATTCTTATTCAAGAACTGGGCTAGGTAGGGATTACATGTAGCCTGATAAAGGCAGTTTGGGAAATTCAGTAGTCTATTCAATGTCTAAGTTATTTAAAAATACATAACAAGACTTTAATTTCTCTTAAATAATATTTTTATATTCATAGAAAGCATTTGTAAGCTAATTATTTTCTGGAGCAATCCAAAATAATCTTCGATACTGTTATTCTACATTTCTAAAAGAAATCGGACATTTTTACAATGTACAACGTATTGTTACAATGTACAATGTATTGAATTTAAGTGATTGAATGATATTAATATTTTATAAAAGATCACTTACTTATTATTTATAAACAGAACAAAATATCTTTCCTACTTACCATTACCAAGTTGACTAATGAGACGGCATTCAATGATATGTTCCACCAAAACATCATACCCATGAGATTTAGTAAAATCATAAAAATTGTGATTATTACTGTTAAAGCTGAATAAATATCCAATCCGAGAAGAATGAAAGTGACTATAAATATATCTATCATAGATATCGCTAAATTCTGTATCGTGTCTTTCCACATGGTAAGGTATTGTTCGTAAAATACGTGAAATATGCTATTAAAAAACAAATAAATGAAAATAAAGGTTATATTTAATTATTTAAAATTAAAATTTTGTCAATTACTATTCAAAACTACCATATTTTTGTGCAGATTACCCACAGGTTACCTGTGTTTAAAAGAGAATTTGAAAGGGGATACTGCTTATAGGCCAATTTCAAACACAGACGTATGAAACAACAATTGCTTCTGAAGATGTGGGGAATATGGCAGTACAGGTTATATGAGGGTTTTATTCATTCTAGCAATTTTCTGAAGGGTATATATGCCATCACAGGTTACACACACACACAAAAATATGAAAAGTTTTAAATGTTATAGCTTAAACTTTTGAATTATAATGAATACTTTCTGACTATCAGTTGGCAGAGATAACTAGAGTGTGGAATTTACCACTGTAAGCAACTCTAATTAAAATCCAGGCCAGAGCCTTGAATTTTCACAAACAGTCTGGCCCAGATATGTTAAGACTCGTCTCTTGCTAACCAACCAGCCCATCACATGACTTATCAAATTCACGAAGAACACAAACAAAGATCCTTTTAATGTCAACAAGAGAATACAGACTTGATTTATGTTTTCTAGTTATGGTTTGTTGTTATAACAACTAAAAATAGAAATCACAGGCAAACTGTACGCCTTGCACCGTAAAGCATAAAAATAACCTTTAATTTCTAGCCATTATAATGCAAAAGTAGCCTGTAATTTCTGGCTATTAAATAAAACATTTAATAGTCAGAAATTCATTTATAAATTTATTTTGAAATCTATACATTCATTTATAGATTTCATACTAAATTGATTTGGAATTTTAGTTAATTATTAAAAATATTTTTAAAATCTTATAAAATTGATACTTTGTGTTATTCTTTAACATAGTCTAATGAAATTCTACAAATCAATAATGTGTAAAATTCATTTCATAATTATAAATTCGAACTCTGATTAAATTATTCTGTACAGATAGATAAATTCAAACCCACTCTAATAAATGAACACAAAGTCAAACAAAAAAATGATGCTTGTTAGAAAGTGCTCANTTCAATAATTAATTTTTTTTAACACTCTGAATGTCAGAAAAGACCACTATCGACATTTTGATAAATGCCAACTGAAGACGTTAATTTGTCAAAAATTGAAAAATTCCAAATCGTCGCACAAGAATTAATGTAGTTATAAGAAAGATGAAATAGTTTTCATTCATTTTTAAATTGCACTAATAATAAAAATGTAATCTTACCGATTATTATTCATTGCTGCATAAGATATTTGCATTAAAAGTGAAAACCTGTTGCATCCATCACTACTACAAATCAAATTTTGATTTTCATAAGTTGTGTAATTGTATCCTTCTTTAACGACGGTGTACATTGGTGGTCCGACAGCTAAATACTCTGCTTGATTTTCAAAATAATGATAAACATAAGAGTCCTACAAAAAATAAAGGAAATCAAACATTTATTGAATACAAAGAAAAATTAACATTAAGGTTAAAAAAAAAAAAAAACTAGCTAAAAAAGCAAATAAACTATTCTATAGTTTGAAATAAAATATAATCAATGAGTTAAGTAATGACATTTTTAAGTTATAGGCTCTCAATGTAAATAAAAATATTATGCACACATTAGCAGCTTACAAAATTTTAAATAAGGATTTAAAAATTTCCTACGTGTAATTTTAATTTGATTATATTTTATAAAAAGATATTTCTAATGTAATTTGAACTGCTCTTTTTCAATTTTAAGCTTATAATTACTTTCAAGTTCAGGTCCTTCAATATAAAAAAAATAATAATAATCCCCATTGTACCAGACAGACAACTAGCTAAAATGACAGCATTTATATATACTATATATATCTGCCTTTTTCAAACTTTAGTCTATGGCACCCAAAATGTAAATATAAATCCCCACAACTCCTTTGCATAAAATGATTTCCACAAAGAAACACATTTTAATTGCTTTCAAATAGGCATATTTTACGTCGGCAACATCCAACACAAAACTCAGATGTTGCCAATGGGTAAAAACGAGTTTTGGACACGAATTAATAAGATAATGCTTTACATATAAACACCCCCACACATTTTAATCAAGTTACATTTTTATGGCATTTAATTCTTGTAGTAAAGTCAGTGGAAAATAAGCCTATTGCTTCATTTCTTCATATCTGAGCTAATATATATATATATATATATATATGTGTGTTTCTATTTATTAACATTAATATTGTGATTATTTGTATATTTTTATTTATTTTTGAAAAGATTTCTCTTGTCACAAGCTAGACAAAAGATGCTTGTATAAAAACACATAATAGAAGAAAACATTCAAAATATTTCTGTAAAGAAAAAGCTAATTCCTTGCCAAAAAGTATTTACTCATTTACAATTATTATAAATAAGCTTAATTATTGACATGTACAACTGTGTAATGTGTTGTATTCATAACTAGAAGCATGTAAATTGTAACTATAGATGCTCAAAATTAATTTAAAAATTAAACGATTAGAATAATTGACATTCAATTAATAAGAATCAAAATAATACAAAAATTACCTGTAAGGAAATATTTCGGCATCTACATTATAACCCTTTAAAGTGGTCGTGATATTTTGAGTTATGACGCGGCTCCACTTCAGAGCTTCCGTAAAATCCGATGAATTCTTCAGCGCCGAATAGTAAGTCATGAACGAGGTTGCTACAATTAAAGATTCAATACAAAAAAAATCTCAATTTTCTACAATTTCAGAATTTTTAATCTAACAAATATTATAACAATAACATTTAAATTAATGTATATTTATTAATATTTTTTTCACATTAATAATATAAAAGAATTACTTAATGCCAATATGGCATATAATTGCAGTTAAAAATTAAATCAAAGTTATTTAATTTAAACCACAGCACAATCAATGAAATAAATAATCAGAAGTTATATTTTAATAAAAAGCAAAGTCATTGAAATTATAATTTAATTTTAAGCAATATAGTACACTCCCGACCTTACAACCTATCCGACTCCTGGAAGTCATGCTATTTTCTATCATGTAAGTGATATAATTTATAACACATAAATTAAGTTAAGTACATGAAAATACAGTAGTTTTGACTATATACATTTGAAAGCTTTAATTAATTGTAAAGAACACAGAAAACATCTTAAACATTCCATATTCCCGTGGCTACTGACATAATAATTTTTTCTATTGCAAATTTCTAGAGACTGCTTTAATTTCCCCGGAACCTCAGTTGCACGATCAGACATTCTGCATCCCCAGTTTTAAGTAAAAGCAATTATATAAATTATACAAGATGAGTAATAAAAATTAAGTTCTTTGTTACCTCCGATTTCGTTTCCCTTTAACTGTACAGCAGTTTCATACGAAGCTTTTCCTCTGAAAATTTAAATAAAATATCTTGTTAAATTAACATTTTCTTTTTATTATTCTTAGTAAATAATAATACCAGTAATAATAACAATAATAATATTGTTCTTTTATGAAAAAAAAATTATGCAAATTTTTTCATTTTTGAGACATTTAAGTATTTGAATAAATAAATATTAAATTGTACTTTGTAACAAATTGTCTTTATTGTACAATGTATTTTTGTCAAAATAACCACATAAAATTTGGAAGTTTATTCGAATGTTTTAGATATATAATCCAGAATCAACATTCCAATTAGGACTTGCAAATTCTATTACACTTCAAGAACAAGTACTGTGATGCATTGTTACATAAATTACTGTAAAAAAACATGTCTAGGCTGTAACAGTCTCTGCCTTAGCTGAAGACCAGTATAATGCAGCCTATCACCAATATTCTAATAGAGATGGTTCTTGTAATATGGCGTGATCAATTGACACAGATGGCTTGCATTTGAACATATGGTATAAAATAAAGTATACATCTATGAATATCTCAAAGCCCAATGTTTATTAATAAGAAGACAAACAATTGCCTTATTGAATTGGATTATTTTACTGCTACTATTAATAATTCAGTTACATCTGAAATTAAATCCATCAGGAAGCAAAAGGTCGGACAAAGGCCCAGATAGAATAATTGGCAATGCATCTGCACACTAAGAGGAAGTTGCAGGTTCAAGTCGAACTCTTGGCCATTTCTTTTCTTCCAGAATTATTCTAAATTATTTAATTATAAGTATTGAATTTAATAAGAGACAGTGCCTAACGACTAGTACCAAACTCTAGTACCAAATTACTTAGAAATTAATTATTAATAGTAGCGGTCAAATAGCCAGACTCAATACAGCAATTGTTTGACTTCTTATAAAATAAAGTATCAGAAACCAGAAATATTTCCAAAGCAAATTTGAAAACAAGCTGTAAAAATAATAAATGAACACAGTGCTTACACCTCAGTCACCATATGGGTTTGGTTAGCATCTAAGTGCAATTTCTCCCACCTTATCAATTTTATAAAAGCTGAACTTAGATAAATAAATTAATTAAATTAAAAAACTATGTATTTATTTTTATTTTTCCCAATTTGAATTTGTAGTTTTTAAATTTAAAACAACTCGAAGTCACTTATTCCATAAGCCAAAAGATGTGATCAAAAATGTTTCCAATTAAGTTATCTGTTCAGTAACCAGAATTTTAGCAATTGTTTAATCATTATTATTTCTATCTATGACTGTATAAAATGTCATATTTAAGTGCTGTACAAAATATATACTGTGTAGGAGGAGGATCTTAATTTATAACACCAAATCCATAAGAGGAAATTACAAGTCGATCCCCCTATAACATTGTTGATTATTCCGTTTTATATGAATTCCATGTTGTACGAGTCACTTAGATTTTACAAATACGTGTGCCGGGCTGTGAATGGCTCACGAATTTGTAAATCTAAGTGACTCGTACAACATGGAATTCGTATAAAACGGAATTATCAACAGTGTTATAGGGGGGGGTCGACTGTAATTATGAAAACCTATTCTCAAACCTTGCATATTAATTACTTATTAATTTTATTAAAAAATTTTTAATCTCTTTTTATATATAATTTATATCACCTACCCTTTTGGACACGACGGTGACGGTTCTTCTTCAAGAAAGTGTCTCACGTACTCTGTGAAGTTTTCTGGCCTCGGACGATTCGTTGTCGAATTTACAATATTGCAGCTAACACAATTGGCTATTTGGACAAGAAAAAAAAATTAACTAACATACCAGAAACTAATTATTACAAATATTGTCTTTAATACAAAGAAAAATGGACAGTTTTAATAATGTTTCATCTTCAGATCATATTTACTCTTTAAATATAAAACACAAGTACAGACGATTATATTCTTAAAACCCTTTTAAATTTGCTGAAGTCAATAATTTTTTAATTAAAAACTAAAATATAAACTCTGAATAAGAATCTTTTCAATACTGATTTTAATGGGATAGACAAAATTCAGAAGATAGAGAATCTGATCCGAAATGTATATAAATGAAATGAATAAAGAATCATTTTTTGTTTTTGAGTTACATCTGTGCTATTAAAATCAGTATTCACAAGGTTCCTGCTCAGAGTTTACCTTTAAATTTTGATTTTTAATAAAGAACAGAAGATTTGTATGTACTGTACATATAATTATATATATATATATACACATAATACATATACAAGAAAGTTAATAAAGGCATGACAACCTTTTTTGACAAATTGGTAGTGCAATAATTGATATTTATTACAGACTGTCATATGATTGTACATTTACAGATTTACAATGTAGCTGTAGTACCGAAATATTATATCAAAATTCGGCCTTTCTTTATGTCAAATTTTAAACAGAGCCTGAACTATCTTCTAATTTGGCAATTTAGATTTATGTTTGAAAATAAGATTTGCAAATGGTTAATAATTATAATCTTTTTTCATCAATAATTATTTTTCTTTTTTATTAATATAATTTTGAAAGCACACCAATAATCCTGAACACATAACAAAAACCTGAGTTATGTCCAGTAATGAGAAATTAAGAGAACTACAAACGTTTGACTCCTTCTGAGACTTGCTTCAGATTTAACGTTCCCTATTCTATAATGGAATGTTTCAACCAGATCACTTTTAAATGGGGTGCGTTCAGTATTACAGAGCATTTCAGTTATGGAAGATATAACTGTTATACCAATAATTTTCTTGTGACATAAAGTACAGAGTTAGTGAATTTTAAATAAAAAATTTCATTCGAAAGACAATAAATTGATCCAGTCAGACAAATATATTAAATATGAATTTTATTTATTTGCTAAAACTGAACTTACCATGAACTGTTGAAGGGCAGTATCGTGTAGTATTTGCATATACTTTACAACAGTCACTACTAGCCCACGAGAAATAATCATCTAACCACGAAAATGCATCATACGCTATATGTGTTCTGCAAAAAAAAAAAAAAATTATTAATTTTTTTAACATGTTATCATCTGCAAATGTGTTTCCAGTGCATTAATAAAATTATCTAATGTACGTAATCTAAAATAATTTGATTATTTTAAATAAATCACTTGAAAATTCATTATCTTGTTTCATATATAAAAAATGCATATAAACAGTCAAACGTAAAATGCTTTAAAAATAGAGCACAAGCATTTTATATTTAAATTTATTTCATTAAATGAAATTTGTAGTGCATATTTTATATGTAAACAGTGTTTATAATTTTATAAAAATTTCTTTGCACAAAGTAAGTTTCATTTAACTTTATTCATGTGACTAAATTCCTTAGAGAATCTTGATGTGTTAAATCTTCTGTACTAGAGGTCTGTTTGGAAATATTTACCTGTTCAGCTGCCGAAACCAGACATCATTGAAAAATGTTACCTATAAAGTTTCTGGTGGTATAACGGTCGCTCACTGATCTTCAAGGGTGGATTAGAAAACGATCATCCAACTACTGATGATGTCATTCACCACTACCGACCAATCAATTAGTAAACATTTCCAAACAAACCTTATGAGTTTTTTCTTATTTACTATATCCTGTTTTCATTTACCATTAATTGAACAATTATAAATTTAAAATTAATTAATCATATTATTGAACATGGTAGTTATTTTAACATTAGTACAAATATTTAGGTAAATACAAAATAGCTATATTAGCTAATTATTCCGAAAGTGCACAATTCTAAATTATCTATCAATACATTATTAGTTTTTGGTTGCAACAAAAAATGAAAATTAATACAGTAGACCCCCCTATAACGCTTAGATACGTTCCACGCTAACCGAAAATTACGTTGTAGGAATGATTAAATACATGAGCCAATCGCAGCCCGATAGGTGTGAACTTTACGGACTAAGGCTGTTCGAAAGGTTTTCTTCTATAAAATTAACCGATTCTAGACTAATTCCACTCAACATTTCCAAAATACGTATAATTTTTTGGGAATAATCTGTATAAACTATGCTATAAACAAAAAATTGTAGGATTACTTACACCGTTCGACTACGCCGTTGTTAAAGCTGGTTTTCATCGCGGAACAGCACACGAAACGACGGCCGCAATTTCTGATAACGAATTTTTGGCAGAAAAATAACTTGACCTTTGGAGACATCATTAATATAAATAATTTTTATGGCCGTTGAATAAGAAGTGTTTCTTTCACAAGAAATGTATAAAATTAGTGCTGTATTAGACTTACGGTACCTAATTTACATACTGTGCAGACGATAATAAACTCAACTTACTAGCCTAAAATCTCCGTAGCGTGTTGCCAGGCGGCAGAAAGCATATATATAATTATAATAAAGTTACAATAAATTAAGTTAATATATAATTATATATACAGTACCTAATTTATATATAATTAATATATAATTATATGTACAGTACCTAATTTATATATAATTTATATATAATACTAAACAGACGATAGCAAACTCAATTTAGCCGCTCCGTAGCGTGGCGCAGGGTCGGAGGAAAGTAGTTCGGCTGCTCATCCACTATTGGTCCAGACTCTATCAATCTTGTCGCGAAACGACGTTATAGGAGGTACGTTTTACGAAAGTTGCTACAATTTTTTCGCTACGTTATAGGAATTGTCGTTATAGGAACGTACGTTATAGGGGGGTCGACTGTAATGTAAATGGCTATTGAAAAAATGCTATTCCAGATTCTTGTTTTATTAGATTATTATTTAACTGTGAAATACCTTAATATAAATTATTGCAAACTATTGATTTGTAGGGATGCACACCATATGTAGGAAACCTATGAAAACTTACATTATACATTGCTAATTAGTATTATAAATTTTCAAATAGGCACCTGCTGCACAAGGTAATCAAGGTAACAAAAAAAAAAAAAAAAAAAAAAAAAAAGGTAATGGAATTGCTATTTTTCTACTAAAATATTTTTAAAATAATATGTATAGTTTATCCAAAACAATTGCACGTGAATTGCTGTGCTATTTACACTCGGGATCACGCAACAATCATTTCCCATTGCAAAACGAATACTTATCACACAGCGTACGTCATTACTTTATTATGAAGAGTAAATTGTAAAAGAATCCGATAATATGAAAAATCAATTTAAATTTAAAATTCACTGTACAAAAATAATCATTTAAATATTCAATAATTAATTTTTTTTAACACTCTGAATGTCAGAAAAGACCACTATCGACATTTTGATAAATGCCAACTGAAGACGTTAATTTGTCAAAAATTGAAAAATTCCAAATCGTCGCACAAGAATTAATGTAGTTATAAGAAAGATGAAATAGTTTTCATTCATTTTTAAATTGCACTAATAATAAAAATGTAATCTTACCGATTATTATTCATTGCTGCATAAGATATTTGCATTAAAAGTGAAAACCTGTTGCATCCATCACTACTACAAATCAAATTTTGATTTTCATAAGTTGTGTAATTGTATCCTTCTTTAACGACGGTGTACATTGGTGGTCCGACAGCTAAATACTCTGCTTGATTTTCAAAATAATGATAAACATAAGAGTCCTACAAAAAATAAAGGAAATCAAACATTTATTGAATACAAAGAAAAATTAACATTACGGTTAAAAAAAAAAAAAACTAGCTAAAAAAGCAAATAAACTATTCTATAGTTTGAAATAAAATATAATCAATGAGTTAAGTAATGACATTTTTAAGTTATAGGCTCTCAATGTAAATAAAAATATTATGCACACATTAGCAGCTTACAAAATTTTAAATAAGGATTTAAAAATTTCCTACGTGTAATTTTAATTTGATTATATTTTATAAAAAGATATTTCTAATGTAATTTGAACTGCTCTTTTTCAATTTTAAGCTTATAATTACTTTCAAGTTCAGGTCCTTCAATATAAAAAAAATAATAATAATCCCCATTGTACCAGACAGACAACTAGCTAAAATGACAGCATTTATATATACTATATATATCTGCCTTTTTCAAACTTTAGTCTATGGCACCCAAAATGTAAATATAAATCCCCACAACTCCTTTGCATAAAATGATTTCCACAAAGAAACACATTTTAATTGCTTTCAAATAGGCATATTTTACGTCGGCAACATCCAACACAAAACTCAGATGTTGCCAATGGGTAAAAACGAGTTTTGGACACGAATTAATAAGATAATGCTTTACATATAAACACCCCCACACATTTTAATCAAGTTACATTTTTATGGCATTTAATTCTTGTAGTAAAGTCAGTGGAAAATAAGCCTATTGCTTCATTTCTTCATATCTGAGCTAATGTTTCAAGAAAGAAAAAAAAATGCAAATTGCAGTTTCCAATGCAGTCTGAGTTTGGTTTTGATGGTTATAAATGCAAAAAACCTTGCCTCACATATGCAAGACATTGCAAAAGGAATTGAAATTCAGAACCTTGTTATGTATTTCTGGATACTCTTGCTTCACAAAGATCCAAAACCGATAGTGATGAGGAGACAAACTGATTTCAGTTTGGAATCTGATGAAATATCAATTAATTGCTCGTTCTTCAATGAAGAGTGTCGATGAGAGAGTTCTGTACCGACGGAATCTTTAATCCAGTCATACAGTCAACCTCTTCTGAAAAGTAGTTGTCAAAATAAACACCAAGCCATGTTAAGTATTCTATAAACACCGACTTCGGTTCTTCACTCAAATCCAATGTCGTCTTCTAAACACCGTACAGAATGGAAGAGCAGTAATTTACATCTTTATTGTCCGACTTTCTCTTCTGCAACAGTAACAGCTTTACAAAAGCCGAAATTTTGTCTGATAGTTGCTTTTACTCATAGCTTTAACTCTATTTGTTTCAGCAAGTGTATAATTGTAAAATCAAAATGGGAATTAGAAAGTAAGGCTAGACAGTAAGTGATTCTCTTTGAATAGTGTCGTGCCAATAACCAATATATATCAGATCAAAATTGATAAATCTTTACAATATCAATGTGTTAAGTTTTATGATGTCAATTTACTGGAACTGATAAAATATCAAATGTTTGTTGTTGACAATGAATACCAATAATTACTACTTTCACCATTACAATTTCCCCATCTGTCAGGATATTGCACTAGTGTTAAAAATTCTGCGAAGGGTTGTTGCAATTTAACTCCGTAGTGCAATCTCCTGACAACTAGAGAAACTGTAATGTTAAAAGAAGTAAATTTGTTATTAATCATCAAAAACAAATACCAATGCTTGGATTGTCTGAACTGTTACAAAGTCTATTTTATCAGTTTTGGTAAATTGACATTCTAAAATTCAACATATCATACAAATTTCAGTTTTGGTTCAATATACAAGTCATAATAGCAAATTAAATTACTTTTGCCAATGATGGTGCCCTTAGTAGAAGGCCGTGAAGCCCCAGAACTGCAAAGCATGGTTTTTAGAAATGCCGATATATATAATCTATGCTATGAAAAAATTATTTGAAATATTTTTTCTACAGCAATTTGCAGAGAAAAATAAAAATGAAGAGATGGATTTAATAAATGGCAACTCAAGAAATCATAAAACTTCTTATAAGAATAAGAATTTATTTTTCATAAGAATGGGAAAGCAACATATTCAAAGAATAGCTTCTAAAAAGAAAGGTTAATAATACAGCATATCCTTAAGTATACAACCAATGGTTTTACAATACCTCAATTTTTGAATGATATAAGTTTTCTGTTATGACTGAAATATCATACTTAAGTGTTTATTAATACCATATATTTTGTTAATCATCTGTATGTGATTTCTGAAATGGTTTTACCTTTGATACGTAACCTTCGAATGGCCATTAATTAATTCAAAATTTGACAACATATATAAATTCATAATAATTTTATTGAATAATATATTAAGATGTATTATTCAATCATTATTTTTAGGGAATGTGTTGAAAATTTATTTTATAGTTTATATTTTATGAACTATTTGAAAAATATCATTCTCACTAAGAAATGTATACATAATTTGGAATTAAACTACGTTTAGATAATGAATAAATTTTCAGATGAAGAAACAAGGCATTGGCTAATAAAAAAACTGGCATTTTTAGAGAAATTGGATAATTAATACTTCAAATAATTCCAATTATACTAAAATATAATTATTACTTGGATGTAATAATTCAAAACGTTTGAAACGTATAAGTAATAATTCCTTTTTCTCTGTATAATTACTCTATTTAGATTTTCTTCTCCTTAAAATCACATCACACATCTTACTCATGGTTGAATGAGAAAATTTTTTGTGTAAAAAGGTAGGCTAAAGCTAAAATTAAAATTTTAATTTTGATAAAAATAATTGTCTTAATTCACTATTTAAATTTTACATATCAGAAATATGAGCAAATATTTATTGTGGGCTGCAATTTTTAATCATATTTTTAATTTAATTAAAATATATGCTCTCCATCTCAAATTAATGGTGTCTCGCCCCTGTACAGTATATCATACTTTTCCTGTTAGCAATAGAGTTGTGCCAGTCATCTATCTAATGCCTTTCAGGGAAAAATTTTATAGTTAATCAGGGCCTCCTGCCCCTAAGCTTCCCATATCTTATCTTGATTTTCATCTATCTAGCTCAGTTCTTGAGATTAAGGAAGGACAGACAAATGACAGTGTGAATTTATAGGTCTAGAATTTTTTCAAATTGCAGCCCAATAAGATGCCAAAAAATTTAATAGAACAATTAGTATGGTTTTATCAGATATGTCAATGCAACACATAGTCTGCCAAGTGGGAAATGTTTTAAGTGTTAAACACATGCAGTAAACCTGAAAAACTTGACACGACCAGTATGTTGGCAGGCGCAAACCCATAGCCGTGCTTGGTGATTTTTATACATTTAGCCGCTGGTGGGCCAATAAAATAATTAATTATTATACTTAAAAATTAGCAAAATTACCTCAGGTACAGAAAGTTTTTGGTCCAAACCTATATCCAACTTGCTGACTACAGCTATAGAAGAGCATAACCATCCTAAAAATACAACAAGCTGAAAATAATATAAAATAAATATAAACTACTTTTATTTATATTATGATTAATTATTTAAAATATCTAATTAAAAAATTTTAATTAAAACTATTTGATCGATTGATCAATGCAAGAAACTAATACACTAATACTATACGGCCAGTTTCAATTTAGCCCCCTACAGAGGGGCCTGATCAATAATACAGTTGATTATTCTTTTGACCCTTGAAAAAGGCCAATGGCCATAGGGTCGTATGATTAAATATTAAATAAATATTAAATATAGATTAAGGCAGATACAAAAGGAAGAAATGCCCTCAGACTTTACTATCTATGATAAATTTTGTGATCAGACCACGTTCAAACCTGGAATGTAAGGTGACACAATAAGTAACAGCCTATGACCTATAGCTTAACTGCCTACCTCCAGCCAAATTGCTTTGTTTTGGCCTTAGTATAGTCCAATAAAAATCCAGCAGATCATTTGGTATTATTAAAGTATCAGGATATATACGTTGTTATAAAATTAATGATAAAATATTTGAATTTTATATATAATACAGGTAGCCCTCAGTTTACGGTGGTTCAATTTACGCCGATTCACAATAACGCTGCTGCACAATTCGCGATTTTGCTGTGTAATTCCTCGATTTTCCCTATGCCAGACTGATTTTCGTTTCAGTGTTGACGTATTTACCGANTAGCGTTAATAGTCCAATAAATGGCATCCGAATCCATAGCGCCAATGAATGTATCCTGTATCAGTTCGTTCAGGAAAACACCTTATGACGCAGTAACACTTCCGGCGATCACAAACTATCGTTAGTGAGACAAATCTACTTCTCTTTGGATATGTATACATTTGCATTAAATTAATATTAAAATACTAAATGTTTAGATACCCACGAGTCAAGTTATCAAACTTAATAGTCCAATAAATGGCGTCAGAATCCATAGCGCCATTGAATTTATCCCGTATCAGTTCCTTCAGGAAAACACCTTACGACGCAGTAGCACTTCCGGCGATCACAAACTATCATTAGCGAGACAAATCTACTTCTCGTTGGCCAGACAATATCTATCTCTCCTTAATTTTCCCTCTTAAACTGACCTTACATATGCGCTACGGCGACCGGTGGTCGACCAATCAGTGTCTCCGCTCGTCCGTAGCTCTACGTCTGGTTAACGTATCCTTTCGATTATGGAAAGTTTGACGGTTGAACTTTGTGAGTTAGACAATGATTGGGAGCAAAGTGAGAATGTAAAAAGGAGCATCATCGCATCCATTCGACCATATTCCGAAATTCTCAATGAAAGAAAACAAAAATGTAAATAATTAAAGAGGGATACTTTTTCCGAAAAATGTAAGAGATCCGAAACTAAAATTTTTAATAAAAACATTTAACTTTATTTTATGATAAAATACATTTTAAAAATTAAATTTATTTGTACTTTGTATTATATTGTATTAATAAACAAAATTATTTGCGTATTTTTCACTTATGTGGAACCTAACCCTATACCTCAGTGTAAATATGAGTTCGTTTTACGCCGATTCAATTTGCACTGGCTTTTGTACGAATGGAACTGCAGCATAAACCGAGGGCTACCTGTATTTTACTTCATTTTTAGTTTTTATTCTGTTTCTTTGCTTATTATATTACATAAAATCATCATCCAATCTCATGGCAGAATATGTTCTGTTTCAGGTTCATTAGATTAAATTCAAATTCTGCTTTGCGTACGTCATCTGCGACTATCAGATATTAATGTAAAATAGATTTAGATGATGGCCTAACAAGATGGGATACTTCATTCAACAACAAAAAAGTTATATAAATTTAATAATAAACTTTTAGAATCGTTCTTCTCCCTAGTCTCCTTGAAAACAATTGGAGCACGCACAACTAATTATTTTAATATAGCTATGGAAGTTTTTCTGTCTCTATATTTAATCAGCAAATCATTTTTTTGATGTTATTGATCCTAGATTCCCTATCATCTAAAACAGAATAAATTAACTATGAAAACAAAGAGAAGCAATTTTATTGTACTCATGTCCAACATACACAACTGAAATCCTAAATCAATATTAATAAAATTATTTCTATCTCTAGATTGTTAATGGTAAACAGACAAAAATATTAAGAGGGTTCATCCTAGAGAGGGAAAAAACTCAAGATCAAATCTTTGTAGCATAATCATGGTTTTTCATATCATCTCTGAGTCATTATGGAAGAGCACAGTTAATGTTAACTTATGATTCATAACTTTGAGTTGTGAATATTGGACAGAATGAGATGAAATTACATAATATTTTCTCACCTTATTTTCCTATCATTGCCCATCAATTATTATTCCCTCAAAGTAAAATTTTCAGTTAAGTATATCTGAAAATTAAAAACTTACCACTGAAATTCTCACAGCATCATTCATCAGAAAAGGTGCATATACATCTTTAAAAAATTTATAAAGAATTCCCAGATGGCTTTCACTGGTGTCTTCATATTTATTTACATCTGACTGAATACAGCAACAAATATCTAATCTTGATTTCTGAAATGTAAATATTAGGAGAGTGGTTAAATATAATTCATTAAAGAGACATATCAAGTTATATTATTAACAAATGAATAAAATACACTAAAGTCCAACGTTCACATACAGTAGTTTAAGTTTTTTTCCTATGACACATTTAGAAACATGCCTTGAATGAAAACCATCTAGTTTAGAATTGCACAAGCATTAAGCAGGGACATTTGTTCTCTTCCCCTAAACATTTTACCCCTCACAGAAACTTTCTATAAATATGACTTCCGGTTCTATACTTCTATGATGATGAAGAAACATTGTTTTGGGGAGAAAACTCAAAATCAAACATCCATAAAAAGTTCCTTTAAGAAGAGTCTTTAAGAAAATAAAATCACCAATTATCACCTATAATCCAGTTAAACACATATTGAGGGAAGAAAAACATGGAATCCCCAAACTCACATTAGAAGGAAAGATTGAGGGAAGAAGAACAATGGGAAGAAGAAGATGAGGCTGGATGGATGACCTTAAGGACTGGACAGGACTAGATACTGAAGAAATTATTCAAAAGACTCACAATAGAGATTCGTGGTATTTGCTGGCCGCCAACCTCAACTAGGAGAAGGCACAGGCAGAAGAAGAATCCAGTCAAAATAAATTTATTATAAGAACAAAACGTTTTCAACTGTTTTTAACAGCCATCTTCAGATTATTATCTTGAAATTTACAAAGTGAGTAAGAAAGATTTTGCCATTAATTTTAAGAACACTTGTACAGTATCGCATGCATGAAAAGATATTTATGAACATTTATAATCTTATTTATATTTTTATTTTCTTTTTATATTTGTAGTTTTATTTGTACATATAGATTATATATGTACTTTATTTAATCCCTGTTACATTATTTTGTATTTTGTTTTATTTTTCTTCATTGTTCCTTCATGCATGCGACAACCAGAACACGTTTAACGAGTTCTATTTTATTTAAATTTTTTTTAATTTTAGATTTTATTCTATGTATTATTCCATAACCTGAAGATGGCTGTTAAAAGCATTAGTTCTTATAATAAATTTGTTCATTTTAACTGGATTACAGGTGACAGATAGTGCTTTTATTGTAATTTCACCCAGTTTGGCAGTATCTTAGTTATAAAGATTACAGTTAAAATTAATTTCCATGTTAATTTACATCTGTGTGTTTCAACAAATCGAAATTTGATTTTTATTATAGGATGAGTTTATTTGTATATTAATCACTTATTTATATAAAGGAACAAAATTGTTTTTTTCTGGCAATTTAAAAATTTTATGTTGTTTTTATAAATTTATATTGAATTATATATTACTCACCTCTTCTCTCTTAGCATCTAATGCCAATAATGAGATAAAGCATGTGATTTGTAACAGAAAATCAATCATTATAGCTAAGCCTGCATATAGAGAAAAAGTATGTACAGCAGGCATGCTTGAAAGGGCACCTGCAATAAAAATATACAAAATGAAAACAATTAATTGACTGATAATGTTTTGGTACTTTAAATTAATGAAGACTATTTTACTCATTACATATAAGACCTGTTTTACACAATCACCTTTGCAACACAGAGAACACACACAGATACAGTTTTTTATTGCAACTGCATGTTTTCCTTTTTGAGCTGTTTCATAATTGTATAAAACCCACAGATCAGTTTTTGGACAGATTTGTTACTTTGAGTGAATCTAGTAAATTTGCAAATATTCCAGCCAATTGGTTAGAGGCAATTTGAAATGAAATTTGTTCAATATCACAGTGTCAACCATTGCTTGCTCGGTCAGCGATTCAATGTCATTCTATGTCATACCTTTTGACAGAAAGCAGGCTGTCTCTTCGACTACTGTCAGATCAAAGATGTTGGATTTTTGACTGATGATCAAAGATGCTTGTGCACAGTGAAAATTTATGCCACTTATTTTGGCTACAAGCTGCAATTTCAAGTCAAAAATTTTTTGACTGATTACCATACATATTAATTTAATGAAATGATTATTAATCACAATCAATTCATTAAATTATAAAAATATATATTTATTTAAACCTATGTATCGTGTACTTTTAGTGAAATTTTGCATACATATTAATATCACTAAAAATATATTATATATCACTTATTAATTAATTCTTGCCAATAGACACACAAGAGGTTATACACAAAATTATAAGCATCACAAATGTTGTAAGTGGTATACAGTTCCAAGGATTTCCGATTACTAAAAATATATGTTTAATTTAACACACAATTTTATTTTAAACATAAAATATTTTAAAATTAGATAATCATTTGTTGTCTTTCCTTGTCACTATCATAAGTTTACATTCCTGAAAACCAATTTGAATCATATAATACCACACCGAGATAACTAAAGAAAATAAGATACATAAATATAATATTTTGTATAGTAATAATAGAAATTTATATCTGTCTTAAAAAAAAAAAAACAATTACATACATTAAATTCCTGCTAGAAAATAAAGCAACAGTGAATAGACAAGCTTACATAAGCTGAAATAATAATTATATCTTACCGAGAAAAAAGCATGATGATTCTGCAAAACTTGCTAAAAGAACTGAAGGTGCCACCTGTCCCACGATACGTCCAATCTGTTCCTCGCAAGTTTCTAATTCTTGTCTCTTATCACGCTATAACAGTCAACAAAAAAAATGTATCAAGCATTAGATTATTGAAGAATTTAAATATTTTCATTTTTTTTACTGAAGAAGTCATAAAATTATATTTAAATTAATTTTTTAATACTTTTTAAAATTAAGCCATTCAATATTTTCTAATTTTAAAGAATGAGTTTATATTTTTGTCAAACAAGCAAATGTATAAAACATCAAGGCAAAAATTGTCATACCTCCAGAGATAATTTAATCTGAAAATAAAATCATCATGTAATTTATTGTAATTAACATTATAGAGTAGTCTTATCCAAAAAAAAAGTACTTCTTATGATGTTACAGATCATCTTAAGATATAAATATGATTTTTTCATTACCAAATTTGATAATTGTTAAGTTTAAATATGTTTCTTCCTTCTAACAACCCACTAAATGTTTGAAGATAGTTATCTTAGAATGTAAATTTAGAAGCCCAAGATATCATTTGTGACAAAGGTAGTTTAATTATCAAGAAACACCACCACAGATCTATAAAATATGGTTTATATACATCAGGTAGATGAGAAAGAGGCACAGTACGATGACAAATAAAAAATGTTTAAAAAAGTTCTGTTTGAAACTATTTCTAATTGTTTCAACAAATTATTAGTATTGTAATTTCCACAGCTTACTATAGGTGTGTTTTATATATAGCTTTAAATATTTTAAATTTAAAATATTTCATGCATAATTTGGTAATAATGATTACAGAGAATAAAATAGGTAGCTTTTTTAATAAAAATAAATTGTTTAATCTTTAAAATAATGAAGTAAATTTCTAACATTTCTAAATTTCAAAATGGTTCTTTAATTCAATTCAAAATTAATAATACACAAAAAATTTAGACTGATTTAATAGTAATGGGATTAAATGTTTTCAAAATTTAAAAAATATCAATATACAGTGGAACTTTGCTTAATGAGAATAATTCGTTCCAGAATCTTACTTGTAATGCGAAATACTCATTAAGCGAAGCAATTTTCCCATATAAATTTATGTAATATACAATAATGCAGTCCATGCCAAAAAAAAAATACTCAAATATTTTACGTATAATGTTTATTCAAAGAAAATTATACAATATACATCGTTAAGGAGAGCAAATCATCATCTTTTCTTCTAGCGCAGAATGAACCAATCTGGAATGCAAATTTGATTTGCAGAAAACAAAAAAATATTAGAAATTAATTAATTTGACTAGAGGTAGGCAGTTATGCTGCCATCTCATATTAAATTTAATAATTATAAATAATTTTTAATTTAGACATTTCTTAAATTCAATTTGGAATTGGTCATTAAATTTAATACGAGATGACATCATAACTGCCTACCTCTAGTCAAATTAATTAATTTCTAACATTTAACTATAGCCTTTGCATAGCCCAAGAATTTGGCATATTATTTGGCATGTTTATTATATAACGGGTGATGGTTGTTGTTGTTTATACATAATATGTGAGAACACAAGTTTAGAAAAATGTGTGATCACAAGCGACACTAAGATGCTAGTGGAATGACTGCTAAACACGGATTGATGGAACAGGCACATAATTCAGGACTTTCCCTCTTCTCGTCACTCATTATGCAAAACGTTGCTCGTTAAGCAAGTCATTTTTTACAATTTGTTTTACTTGTTATGCTAAATACTCATTATGCGAGGTTCCACTGTATTCTTCTTTTACTAGATATGTATTTAAAATAAACATTTGTGTATTTAAAGCTGAGAAAATTTGTATCAATGAATGTCACACCCACAACATCTATTTTATATTTATCTTATCTTAGTTCATTGATATTATCTTTATAAGTTTTTATTTGTAATAAAATTATTAAGAAATAACTATATTAAATAAAATATTCTCAAATTTATAAATTAACTACAATGTTAAGTATGTATTAAATAAAATTTATACTTATAAAACAATTTTTATATACAGGGTGTCCCAACGAAAACGAAACGGCAGAGATATAGCATTCGTCCAAGCAAATCGCTCGGACAGGTCGATTTTATTCTCAAGGGGGACATTTTCTGCAATGAAGTTTTTGCGATTCTGAATACAACAGACAACAAAATTTTTAAAAACTTATTCATTTTTTATTAACTAAACAATTGGATTGGATTCCACCAATCAACGCTTGATAGCTCTCCAAGACGTCCGCAGATGGTGTGATGTCTTTTAACTAATGAGCGGTCGAGTCTTCAGATGTTGTCCAAGTAGCGTTCCTATGGTGACCAACATCGTCTGTCGAACGACTAAAAGCGCAGGAAAACGAGTGTGCCAGACGATTTTTATCCCGACAAAACAAATAATAATCTTAAATTCGAATTGAATCACTATGTGGTCAAGCTTAATGTGAACACTACAAAATACTGTATTATAACATTTGGAAACAGATAACACATTATCAACCTTAATTTTATGATCAACTTATTTTTCCTTGCATATGCGGTCTAGCTTNAGAAGAGGGAAAGTCCTGAATTATGTGCCTGTTCCATCAATCCGTGTTTAGCAGTCATTCCACTAGCATCTTAGTGTCGCTTGTGATCACACATTTTTCTAAACTTGTGTTCTCACATATTATGTATAAACAACAACAACCATCACCCGTTATATAATAAACATGCCAAATAATATGCCAAATTCTTGGGCTATGCAAAGGCTATAGTTAAATGTTAGAAATTAATTAATTTGACTAGAGGTAGGCAGTTATGCTGCCATCTCATATTAAATTTAATAATTATAAATAATTTTTAATTTAGACATTTCTTAAATTCAATTTGGAATTGGTCATTAAATTTAATACGAGATGACATCATAACTGCCTACCTCTAGTCAAATTAATTAATTTCTAACATTTAACTATAGCCTTTGCATAGCCCAAGAATTTGGCATATTATTTGGCATGTTTATTATATAACGGGTGATGGTTGTTGTTGTTTATACATAATATGTGAGAACACAAGTTTAGAAAAATGTGTGATCACAAGCGACACTAAGATGCTAGTGGAATGACTGCTAAACACGGATTGATGGAACAGGCACATAATTCAGGACTTTCCCTCTTCTCGTCACTCATTATGCAAAACGTTGCTCGTTAAGCAAGTCATTTTTTACAATTTGTTTTACTTGTTATGCTAAATACTCATTATGCGAGGTTCCACTGTATTCTTCTTTTACTAGATATGTATTTAAAATAAACATTTGTGTACTTAAAGCTGAGAAAATTTGTATCAATGAATGTCACACCCACAACATCTATTTTATATTTATCTTATCTTAGTTCATTGATATTATCTTTATAAGTTTTTATTTGTAATAAAATTATTAAGAAATAACTATATTAAATAAAATATTCTCAAATTTATAAATTAACTACAATGTTAAGTATGTATTAAATAAAATTTATACTTATAAAACAATTTTTATATACAGGGTGTCCCAACGAAAACGAAACGGCAGAGATATAGCATTCGTCCAAGCAAATCGCTCGGACAGGTCGATTTTATTCTCAAGGGGGACATTTTCTGCAATGAAGTTTTTGCGATTCTGAATACAACAGACAACAAAATTTTTAAAAACTTATTCATTTTTTATTAACTAAACAATTGGATTGGATTCCACCAATCAACGCTTGATAGCTCTCCAAGACGTCCGCAGATGGTGTGATGTCTTTTAACTAATGAGCGGTCGAGTCTTCAGATGTTGTCCAAGTAGCGTTCCTATGGTGACCAACATCGTCTGTCGAACGACTAAAAGCGCAGGAAAACGAGTGTGCCAGACGATTTTTATCCCGACAAAACAAATAATAATCTTAAATTCGAATTGAATCACTATGTGGTCAAGCTTAATGTGAACACTACAAAATACTGTATTATAACATTTGGAAACAGATAACACATTATCAACCTTAATTTTATGATCAACTTATTTTTCCTTGCATATGCGGTCTAGCTTAAAAGGTTTTTTTTGATGTTTTTTAATAGTTTGTGTTACTTTATTTGAAATAAATGTTTGTTTAGTTAATAAAAAATGAATAAGTTTTTAAAAATTTTGTTGTCTGTTGTATTCAGAATCGCAAAAACTTCATTGCAGAAAATGTCCCCCTTGAGAATAAAATCGACCTGTCCGAGCGATTTGCTTGGACGAACGCGATATCTCTGCCGTTTCGTTTTCGTTGGGACACCCTGTATA